TTCTGGCCCTGGACTGCCTCCCTGCCAAAAGCAAGACTAAACTCAAGCTCTGCTACGCGAGCCTTCGTGACTTGCCCAGGAGCCCAAGCACATGGTAAAGCGCATGCAGCCATGGCCAGTCATACTTCAAGGATGTCTGCCTTTGCTACTGGCTCGCTATGAACGCCATGCTTCCGGCGTTGCTCCCAGCGCTGCCGCATGCCAAGCGGCAGTGTGGCGACACGGTGTTGTTGATGGACACACCCTGAACTGTATGGGAATCAACGGAGAGGAGAGTTGTTGGCGTCACGGCTGGGACTGAGCAACGTTTTGAAGGTCACTGAGGGGTTATAACAAAGCGCTGGATACAGCGGACATGATTGTCTTTCCTAGAACATGGCCGACCATAAAGCAAACACGCAAACGTCCGTACACGCCTTCCCTTGCGTTTCATGTTTTTGATACTTGTGCGTGGCACCCCTAGTTGGGTCCAGGTGGTGATTATGTGGTGCGCCTTTATCGGAGCAAAATTTTTTTGTACCCCACACTGCTTTTCGCGACCATCCGAGTGGTCCCAGTTCAACTAGAGCTCCGGCGCGTGTCTGCCGCGAAGCCGGCGCAGCGGTTGGTACAAATGTGCTGGTCCGCGACTCCAACCTCCAGGCTGCAAGGCAAGATGAGCGGCGCAGTGAGGTCACTGCTAATGGACTTTCTCTGTGGGGTGGCTTACACCTCGCAGTTGACACCACCCTGGTGTCCCCACTAACGTCTGCTGGGGCACCCCGCCGCCGCAGTGGGGCCACCGCCGGCGCAGCGCTTGCAGATGCCCGCCGAAGCAAGGAACGCGCCTACCCTGAGTTCGGGCGGTCGTCGCGGTGCCGCTTGGTCGTTCTGGGCATGGAGGTTGGCGGACGTTGGAGTGCTGAAGCTGCCAACTTCGTCCGGTTATTGGCTCGAGCGCGAGCACGCACCGCCCTCCCACTGCAGCGTGCAGCAACATGGGGTTGTTGTCGGTTGCTGCCGCTCAAGCGGCCCACCTCGTTGACGTAAGGTGCCGGACCAGGGGCAAGCTGCGACATGATCACCCAAGACATCCAACGGGCGTTGGCAACGGCAGCGAGCTGGGGCCAGCGGCAGAGGAAGTCGGAGGCGACGGAGCAGTAACACGCGGAAAGGGGCCGAGTCGACGGCGAGCGCAGGAACAGTAGGACGCACCGTGAGAATCCTTTGTTTTTTTTTAACACGCCTTCTTGCGCCAGCAGTGAAGAAAGAGTCTGTCGTCGGCCCACCAGCGGGAGGCAGCTTACCACAGAGAGGGTGGGACGGCGCGTTCCAGGCAGGACCCGCGGCCGCGGGAGCACCGCTTGCATCAGTCCCAGCGCGCATCNNAGGACCTCATGCAAATCGGGCATGGGTCCTTCGCCCAACTCGGCTGCGGGGGGCAGCTCGAGGAGTGTGGCGGCGTCGGGTTGCAAATGGGCCCGACGGTGAGTCCAACAGTGTGAGCTCGGCAGGGCCAACACTGCGGCGATGTTCAGCGAGAGCAAGATCATCAAGGACTTTAGAAGCAGGGCGCTGCCAGCCATGCAAGGCGACCTCTGGTTCAGTGTCGTCGGCTGGCTGCACAGAGGCATGCTGGGGCAAGTCAGCCCAAGCGGAGGCGCGGAAGCCGGCCGCGACGAGCACGTCAGTGGCTTCGAGCAGGTCCGGAATCGGAGTGCCGGCAGAGAGGTTGCCAAAACTCGTGCCAAACCTTGTAGGAAGGGTGCCTCCCGAACGGACAGAACAGTGAATGCATCAGCCCACGACGCCCAAAAAACAGCTGGCGCGTGCAGCGCAGCACTACGCAGGCCAAGGCCGCCATGACGCAAGGCAAGCGGTGCAACACGGGAGGCAGCAGGTGGGAGCGAGGAAGGCTCCCCCGCACAAAGAAATGTGCTCAAGGTGTCGAGCACAGCCCCATCATGTGCAACCGCAAACTCACCCGTGAGCCCCGGCGCAAGCAAACGCAACGCAAACTGGGTTCGCGGGGCCGCGGTGTATAGCAGCAACAGCCAGGCGACTTGCGTGTCACCAATGCGCGGCAACATGTGCAAGAGTTCCCGGTGTCGGGCACTCAAAGACTGGAGGTGATTTGCGATGAATTGCGGCGAATCGAAGAGAGTGCCAAGCAACACCATGCCGCGGGATGTGGGTTCAAGCGCCTGGTCACCGAACCACACGCGACCGTCAGAGTGGATAGCTTGCAGGCCGTCAGGGGCGACGCCAGCCTCATTCCAACGGGCCGTATTGGCGACATTGAGACGCAGCCGTGTGTGGTGTGCAAGGTGTGACCCGAAGCGCCGAACCAAGTGCTGCGCTCGCTGAGGCGACGCGCGGATGGTGACATCGTCGAGGTAAGCACGGATGCGTTCACCAAGCTCCTCGCGGATCTCCTGCTGAAGTGCCCGGAGTGCAGGCCGTAAGCCCAAGCAAAACAGAGCAGGGCTGAGGGGGTCCCCGTGTTCCACACCTTCACCTTGACCGATGCTTCGGGAAACTGGGCCCCGTTGCCAGACGAACGAAGAAAAGCGACCTAACCGCAATCTTGCAAACGGCAAAAGGGCGGCTGCCTCGGGCAAATGGCGGAGTTCGTGTAGGATCGTCTGGCATCTGATGCCATCATAAGCAGCAGAAACACGACGGTTAGGGCTTGGTCCTGGGCACATCTGGCTTGCACATTATGCGCCAAAGCATCCAGGTCTGCACGGTTGCCGGGGGCATATTGGTGTGGGCGGCAAGCAGCTTCAAGCGAAAGTGCAAATTGTTGTGCCAGTGTGCGTGCGGTGAGGCGCCGGAAGAAATCACCGACTACTAACCCACGGGTACCGCCGGTAGGCTTGCGGAGCGCAACCATTCGCCCAAGTCCCAAGGCAGCTCGAATATCATCGGGGACCCGTGCCTGCGCAAGAAACGTGGCGACATCAGCAAACGCTTGTGTGGAGTCGTCGGCGTCCAACACGACTCGCACAACCTCAGCCGTGAATCCCGAGGGCCCAGGGGCAGCCCCCTTGCGCGCGCGGCGCAAGCTAGTGAGCGGTGCTGCACGATCGAGCTGGACAGGACGAGGGATTCCAACTGAGCAGCTCGGGGTCGATGGCTTCGTGCGGCTCACGTGGTCGGCGGGTCGGGTCGGCAAGCTCGTCGAAGGTAGCGTCGGTAGCGGGGGGCGAGCGGTGCAGCAGTGAGCGCCTGTCGCACTGCAGACAGTTCTCCAAAGCGAGCTCAGTGCCGGGCTCGGCGTGCCCGAGCGTCTTCATCGGGCGCCTCGGTTGCACGGCGGTTTGCCAAATTCGCGGGCTCGCAATGCGATCTAAGGCATCTTGCAGCAATGCTGCCCAACTACCTTGCATTAACGATTGGAACCGTGCCAACAGAAGCGGTTTCTCAACTCGAGCTCCACCCGCGGGCGATGCAGGCGCATGCGGGGCTAAAACAACCACAGCTTCCAGGCTCTGACCACGTGGATGTCGCCAGCTTCGCCCGATGTCCTTGCGCTGGACCGAATCAAATCCAGTGCCACATGGAGTGCTCTGCGAAGCACACCTTTGCAAAAGTGCGGGGGCACCCGAAACAAGCAGCACGGCCGCGCCAGGACGTCCTCAGCTAGGAAAGGGTCAAGGTTCGCCAAGGAGGCCCGGTAGCGCAAAGGGGTGTCGGAAGCGGGTTTATGCTCGCAGTTGGGCACATCATGTTCAACGCCACCTGGGTCGTTCTGTGTGCTGGACGTACTAGAACTAGAGGAAGAACTAGACGAGGGAGAACCACCAGGCACTGGAGGTTGCTCCTGGGCCGTACTGGCACGCACTCCACTGGATGTCGGGGCCGAGGCCCGTCCCTCGCGCGATGCAATGCGGCGTCTTCTTGCAGGAGTGCTGACGCGGCCAGTTCCCCATGAAAACATGTAGCAGTGCCTCCTGAACGGTTGCTGGGATATATCCGTAGCCCATAACAAATGCACTGACGTGTTGTCGGGGAGGAGGTTGGCCTCGGCAGCGAGGGCTAGCAAGAGCTGGGCTTCAGGCACCGGCAGCGCACGTCCTTCTTGGGCAGCAAGCTGTTGCAAAGTATGCAGTGCATGCACCAATGCGGCAGGCGCTGCGGGTGGTGCCTGGCGCAGGGTGCCGAGGGCGCCTCGCCACAGCAATGCATAGTGAACATGGGCCTCCCAAGCTGCCAGCGCGCGGGGGTGGAGACGGCCCACAGCTGCATGTAATAGCGGCGCGAATAACCAGCTGTTGGTGTTTCCGGCGGCAAGGTTGCCGGGAGGGCCCTGCTTGAACCACGCCGCCTCGGTAGAAGGGGCAGTCGACACAAGTGCTGGTTGTTCCGGAGCACCACCTACCAGTGCGGGTTGTAGCAGCACATTTGATCTCCGAGTTTGCTGTCACCAGCGGCGGCGTTGTATGGCCTTGTTGGGAATAGGCAGCAAGGTCAAGGTGGCGTTTGTCATGGCTGTGGTGTTGCAGCCCCAACGGCATCCCTTACATGAAGGACGGGCGCGAGGTGCAATAATGCTGCCTGCATTATGTGTGGCTTAGGTTTGTCTGCGTTATGTGGACGTCACAAGCCCATTCTGCACCACATCGACAGCAGGATGAGGATGTGACTGGTTTAGGGTAGCTCAAGAAGCCCGAGAAAGTTCATACCCGACTCTGCAAAAACCTCTGAGCAGCAGCCTGGGATTCCACGGCACTTTCATGTTGCCTTAGTGTGTTTTAATTTCCGGCAGAATGCTTGCAGGGTCGCAGATAAACCCAAACCAGATGCAAATCGGAATATGGACACACATGAGGCGCTTGATTTGGAATAACAGAACCTCTGAGCAGATCCTGGGATTCCACGGCAGCTTTTGTGTTCGAACATAGTATAGGGTCGCATGTAGACCCGAATTATGTGCAAATCGGAGTACGGAGGCAAGTGAAGCCTGAGCAGCACTCTGAGATTCCACGGCAGTCCAGTCGGAGTGCCCAGGAAGCCGGCTTGCCCTCGACTTGGACCCAAGCAGCAATTGTGAACACGTGCACTCATGGATCCTGCGTTCTCGGGTCTGCATGTTATGACATCTTGTGTATCCACGCCGGACGGCTGCCAGAGATGGTGGGGCCTTGTCGCGCCTTGAGCAGGGAAACCCCTGCCCTTCACAACAGAAAAAACACTGGAGTTCAACAGAGAAGCTTCTGGGACTGGTGATTCGAGCAGCCGATTGTTCTGCAACGGTTCTTGTGTCATTTCACCGAAATTTCAGCAGCACCGGTCCTGAAACAACGGTCCAGCGGTCAGGAGCTCAGAATTAAGAACGTGAGATTCAGAGCCCAGAGGCAAGGCCAGAATGTATACATATGCACAGCTCAGGTCAGATGCGTTGTCAAGTGCTACTGCCGGGCTTCGAGTCTTCAAGCAACGATCTTTGAGCTGGGCTCCTGCTGGCCACGAATTGATATCGCCTGTTTCGGCTTTCTTTTGTGAAATTAGTGAAATCATTTATGAATTTGTTGGTTCAGCCCGTTTTAACAAAGGAGAAGATGATGCAGCGACACATGGCACACTCGGCCAGCAAATGCAATGTTGTGCAAAATGATCCAGACCTGTGTGAACTGCCGAGTCTGTGCAAAACAGTTCATTTCCTTCACGGGTTTGTCAACACGAGTGCCTGCGGGCTGGATTTCTTGGCGAGCAATCGCTGACGGCGCTCGCCCATCAGCGGTGACTCGGCGGTGACAGCACGGGCCTCGGTGGTTGACCACCTGGCAGCACAGTGCGTCGTGAACTCCCGCCTTAGACTTAGTTCCTTGCGCGCGCGTTGCTTCCGACTTTGTCACCAAGCGCCTGTGCGGTCTGGCGTTCCCAAGCTGGGCACACACACACACACACGCAGGAGCCTGGTTGACAGCCATACCGAAAACCTCCCGGCTGTGGCGGGCTCGCCGATGAGTTCGACGATCATGCCTGGCCTGCCTTCGCACTTTGCTCATGCGCCGTCCAGAACTCGTTGATTTGTTTCTGAGCTTGGTGTTCGCCCCTACCTGGAAGACGTGGCGTTTTTTCACAAGACCGCAACACCAAAATGGGCGCCTTAAAAAAGGGCCTTTTGAAGTTTAAGGGTCATTTGAAAGCACAAAATAACATGAATCATCACTTTTCGGTCACACCGTCGCCTGCTGTTTCAATATTGAGGATAGAATGTCCTAGTGATACGACAATGAATCGTGTTCGCTTTCGGGCCATGACGCATGGCCATTCAAGGACATAGGACATGCACACACAGCCAACTGACACAGCTGACGTCCACACTTGCTTGGGCCACTGGGGCATCCTTCATCAACTTCTTTCTGCGATGGTGGGGGTCTTGTCCTGGCGCTATACATGACGACGACGGCGGCGGCTCCATCAAGAGCTCTCCCTGCGGCGAGCACGAGGGAGCAGTACCAGTCTGACGAACACAACTTTTTCGACAACCAGGCTGCATCTTTCCCCTCCGGGTTTTTAGGGCTGTTCGATTTTCCGGTCCAGGCGATGGGCAGCGAGCCAGCCGGCCGGAACATGGCAGGTTGGTCCGAATCCGTGGAGAACACCTCGACTCACACCGCCAAACTTTCATAGTTTATGGCCCCCGCCGCACCCGGCCAGGTTGGTGCTTGGAGGCCGCGCAGTCTCCAAGGACTGGCCCGCAGGAGTGCAGGGTTTGGGGAGAACGCGGCGTAGATATCTTCCAATGGGCGTAAACGCCGAAGTAGACTGCCTGCATGTGCTTACGGCATATACTGGAACGGTGCACGCACTTGCAGGAATGTTTGCCCGAACTGCTGCGGCAACGTCCGAGACCAGCGAAAAACGTCACCCATGACCAGCGCACGCACACCGAAGTCAGCGCTAAGCATGCTGTGTCGCGTTTCTTCATCTCTGCCACAGTGTCACGTCTCCGGCGATGGTTGCACAACCGGGGGCTGAGGAAGTGGTGCCGAGCCGCTGCCAGAATGAAAGACTCGGCGTGATAAGCTGCTAGGTTCAGATGACACAGCAGTTCCGCCTCGTCGCATCTCATGTCGGCGATTTGTCAAAAGGAGCAATGTCTGTCAGAGCATGATGTCTCTGATTCGTCCGCCCTTGCACGCCCCTGGCGACTCCATCTACATCTACCTGCCGTACTCGTTTCGTTTCGCATCCTTGGAGGTTTGAGTCGGAAGTGGTGCCGCTGTTCCAGGAGTTTGCTCGCAGTCGCTGGTAATTATGCAGCCAGCGCCATTTCCGCTCTGTGACTTTCGACTTTAACAAACCATGACAAACATAGGATATGCTCTTGTTGGTTCCGGGGCTTGGAACAATCGGAATCTGGCCGGCCGGCACTCCTTTTCTCTCGAGTGCTTAGCCTCTGAAGGATTAGAACAGCCCCACGGTCTGTTCCTTCCACATGGAGCTCTTGACAGATGCAGGGTTCGCCCGCCAAGGCTCGACGTGGGCAAGCTGCCGGTTCTGTACAATCATGGCCGGGCGAGAAAACACAGATCCTCACGACTAAGCAGCACCGTCACGAGTGCCTGCACATGCAAGCCCCGCATGAGGCTTTGGACAACGTTGTGTGTGCAACGCGTCATGATTCACTCGCTGCACCTGCGGACAAAGGTATTGTCATGCGACGCACAGAGCAAAAAACGATATTCTGGGAAAATAGGTCTGCAAGAACTTAGGCTTTAGGCTGCGCACTTTGAGTTCTCTGCTTGTTGTGCTGACACAGTCTTGGAGTACGGCTGACTGCCTCGAGCACCACTGGATTCTTGGGCGACCTGGCTCAGGGATTGTGTTGCTTGCAGCAGTGCAAGACACATTGAGGCTTACCAGTGGCGGCAGGCCGATGCTTTGCATATATAGATGCGGCATCACCAACTACGACTTGCCCACTCCTTCAGGACTGATGAGTGACTTCTCGATCCGGACCCCATCGGCCCAGATCGTACCCTGAGTGTAGTCGGAGACTTGGTATTGTGGGCTTAAGCACTTCTCGGATCTGCTGTTTTGTCCAGTACTTTGCATGCCAAAGTATGTGTTCACGCGGCGTAGCGATCGCACGCGATCGCAACATAGTCTCTTCGAGAAGCAGTATGAAGCATCGCTTGAAATGGAGTCTTGGCGTGCGCTAGGGCCACTAGGGAGGTGCTAATGAAAGGCGCAATAGCAATGGTAACAATTACATCGCAGTTCTACTCCCAAACTTGTGTTTTAAAATAAGAAGGGTCGGCCAGCAGCTATCGTCACAGCATGGCTATCTAATTCAATTTCTCACCGAGGTTTACCCGAACATAGACCGCCATAATTTGAGCAGAGAAGAGGATCAGCGTCTGAGTAACGACACTGCATATCTCAGAGATTGAAGCACGCATTCCGGAGCCAATATTCAACTGAACATGACTACCAGCAGCATAGTAGGACACCTGCCTTTCCCAACCGCTTACAAGGCAAAACAGCCTGCAGGCCTTGCAGCCAGCATCGGCCAGCACAGGCTGTAAGTACTACAATGACGCTCGGAGCGCTCATCGGTTGATTGCACGCAGCCAACGCCGACACCAGATGTGAGACTAGGTCCTTCAGCTACCACCAGGACTAGAAGCGTGCTGCGCGCCAGCTGCTAATTACGAGATCCGGGACTTGCAGATGAAGTGAAGACACAACACCCTGGGACAAAGTCACGTGGCGATTGCACGGTGAGCTCTCCTGTAAAGGTCCCTGCTTCTATGGCATACCCGGCGTTTATGGAAGCCCCCTTGCGCTCCGAAGGATGTCCAGCTTCGGCCTCCCCGAATCTGTGTGTTTGGGGTTCAGAAAGGGGGTCGGTTCACTCCCCTGCCTGGCTCGGCTCCGCCTCCGGTTCCTCTGGCTCCCGGGCCTTGGTGGCAGCGCCGCCGCTGCCGGCAGAGGCGTCATCAAACTGATGGTACTCCTCGCGGGGCTCATGAGGGGCTCAGAGGAAAAATGCCGAGATCCTCCGGCCGCAAAGGGCCTCTTGCCTTCAGAAAGCCCCCTTTAATTCAATTCATTCAGATTCAAAGGCGTTTTCCTGATAGCCTGTCCTCGCGCACCATCTCGCCCCCCTTCACCGGGTCAAAGCGAGCCTGGCGCGAAGGCAATTCAATCTTGAGGGGTGCAGCATGAAAGCTGCGAACCCGTGTTCTCCTTTCGGACATGGGTTGGGGAAGCACACCCAAAGAGTGAACGTTGAAACCCATTGCTTGCCTGTCCTGGCATTTAGATGTAGCCCTGGAAGACCCTGCACGGCGCCTTGTAGTAGGAGCCGTTCGCGCATACGATGATGACCTGAATTTCAATGTTTGAGGAATTCAATGGACAGAAAATGACGAACATTTACACAAAAGAACAGGGTCGGTGCCATGCTAATAGGACGAGAATCGAGTCAGGGTCAAAGGGCGGATGTGGCAGATTCTCTTGGAAAGATCGTGGCGAGAATGCCAATGCCAACTTCAGTGCTCAATCCAAGCAGACAATTATCACAAGTACCGTTTCTTCTTGATTCTCAACAGCTCAGCATGGACACAAGGTTTCAAACCAAGGGCCGCACCGTGTGCGGATCAACACCGAATGCTGCAATGTAGCGGTAGTCGTGGACGCGAAACCTAGCCATCGAAAGGTTACGCACAACGTAAGAAGGTGGGGAGCCCTGGCAGACTCGGGGGAAAAGACCTAGGGCAGGTACAAATGCAAAGCTTGGAATTCACGCGAGTCGACTCGTGAAACTCAGTGCCAGACTGCGCCAGACTCCACTCCGAGGAGAAGTAGGCCTGACATGTACATGCAGTCCGGCTTTTGCAGGCAAGGGCTGTCAACAATGAGAAATCACATGCAATTGATTCCACTTGTCAAACCAGCAGGCATCACAGGCAAAACCCGCGACCTAAGAAAGCAGGGCAGGGTGACGTGAGAGTTTTTGCGGCAGTTTCTGCAGGCCGACAACATCACGCTTCTCGATGCAAATACTGAGGCAGCCCGCCGAAACATGTCGAAATGATGATGTCCTCTGACTACTCGGGAGACTGGAAGAAAAGCAGCTCGGGCCCCAGCAGTCTCTGCAGGCTGGACTTCGCATTGGAGGTTCCAGCCTCTTCCGACAAAGCTCTCGCGGGACGGACAGGTGGCGGAATCAAGGCTTAAGCCACATTTGGCTCGCATCACTGGCATCAAAATCACCATTTTCATGAGCAGCAGCGCCATAATCACCGCCGATGTGGATCTACCGACGAGCCGGAGGAGCGACGAGAGGTAATTAAGGACAACAACTGGCATGATCATAAGCAAAAGGCAGAAGCAGCAGCAAGGTCCGAAATAACAGCAACACAGACACGCGCGCACACACACACACAAACACACAAACACACAAACACACACACACTTACTTACTTACTTTGGGAAAACCGCGAAAAGAACAAGTTCCGACTTTGGAAAAGGAGAAGCCGTTCGTCTTCGCTTTCGAGAGGCAACGTCTGAAAAGAATAAATTCCGCTGCCACTACCTCTCGTCGTCGTTGTCGTCGTTGTCGTGCTCGTTGTCGTCTGGGTTGTGGCAGTGGCACTGATCGTAGCAAAAAGCCATCAAAGCCACCGGCACCATCCCAAGTACAGCTTGCCGCGACATTTATGTGCTCGTCAAAATGTAGTCGAGCTCAGGCCAATTCCACATAGACTCCATCTTAGCTTTCGAATTCTGGACGCATTGATCCCGCTCACCTCCCTGACCCTGTAGACTCCTCATTAGAGTCAGGTGTTGCCTGTCGCAGTTGTGGGTTGGAGAGGCTTGACATAGAGCTGCAGCTGCTGGCAGGCCTCCGCGCTGTAGCCAAAGGCCGCAGAAGTGCCGCCTGTAACGCAAGAGTCACTGGCGCCCGAAATCTACGTGGAGGTTCGAAAACGTAACCCCGCAGAAACTAAAAACAGATCAGGCCTCCTGGCCGCTGAATGGCGAAGATGTGCACCGTTCCCTTGTCCGAGGAGGCGGCCAAATACTCGCCTCACCATTCGAGCCAGCGCAGGGAGAGTGAGCAACTGGGACATTTTGGATTTGTGACTGCGAGCGGTTGCGCGCGATTGGATGTGGACCTCAGGTGGGCTGTCCGCATCTTACTTTCTAATCCCAAGACACAAGACCCAACCCTCTGATAATGCTGAGAGAGCAGGAGAGCAGATGGAACAAGCTGCCTTTGCCAAGCGAGCCCCAGCCCTATCGCCCTGCAAAGTCGAAAGCTAGCAGAAACAGAACAGGCTCATGTGGCCCAGCCTGACGGAGAGAAGGTGAGCGAGTGGATCTGCAAACAAGACGCGATTGGGGCAGTGAAACGGCATTTTGAGAAGGCATTCTATGAGAGGCTAGGATATTGGCCGGTTGAGAAGTCAGGGTACTGTACACTGTACACCAAATGTCACCTGAGACGACACAGTTTCTTGTAAAGTACTTTCGTCAGTGTTGCCGGAGGTCAGTTCTAGCACAGCTTTGAATTTGTTGATTCTGGAGGTGCGAGACTCAGAAGCAGATCACTTTTGATACCAGAGGCTCCTTGCAAGCGCTTTCTTCGCATACGATATGTTCGGGCAATGCCTGGAGCATCGAAACACTAACGGCAGCGCTCCCCCGCCTCTGCTCTGTCCAAGCCTCTTCGCAGTTCCTTCGGCTGATGCTTTTATGACATTCTTTTATGCTCTGCTAAGCCAGTGCTCAGTGCTCCGTTGAGTGATTCACCCGACAATGTGGGCCTTTGCTACGTCACGGGACAAGTCTTGATGCAAAGCTTTGAGAAACTGTCAGTTTCAGCAAAACCTCTGCCAGACTCGCCTTCGGAGCTGCATGCCCCATAGGCCCGCCCCGAACCTTCTCTAGAGAGCACTGAGCCTGCGCCAAACCGTCGCGCTGCAACTCCTTCGATGGAAGGGCCAGTCAGGCCAAGAGCAGACAAGAATCCTCCCGCAACAGCTGAATCCTTGCACTACCCTGAGAGTTGAGAATCTCAGAGACGGCCGTGAAACTGGCCAGCTTGAGAGCAGTTCGCGGGGTCTGGAAGAAGAAAGAAGCATTCCTGCTTGTGAAGGCTGAGCCCGCGGCGTGCACCCGAACAATCGTTCCCTTCTCTGATGCCGTCGCAATGAGGGAGCCTGGCGGAATGGCAGCGGCAGAAAGAGGATTGCAGATTGTAACCCTAAACCCTAAACCTTAACCCAGCAAGCGAGCCGGGCTCGGGCAGCTTGCATCCAAGGCTATGGCAGCAATGGGCGAGTCCTAGGAGGAGATCTCGCGCGTGTCAGCTTCCGAATCAGCTTGGGATCTGAGATCGAAATTCGAAACCCAGGCATCCTCACGGCATCTGGCTCGCTTGGCTTGGGCTACGAGTTGAGGGCTTGGCAAGGTCTGCTGGTTTTGCGGAGTGTGGCCCAGGCTACAAATCAATCCTATTGAGGTCGGATGGTAGGCAAACTTATGAGAACCTGGTTGAGAACGAATCGCTAGAAGCGAGCCGGGTTCAAAGTAGATCAGCGAATCAAGCGCCAAGTCGCGTGAGCAGTCTTGATGATGGTTCGCTCCCTCTCCCCCGGTGCCTGGGCCCGGGCAACAAACTTTACGACACGAGGAAGTCCACAAAAAATGCCGCAGAAAGAGCAGTCGTGCTACATCGTGCTACCAACCCTGCCTGCCCCCACCTGGGGGGCTTGAATTCTGTAGACAAGAAGCATGCTGCGGCATGCTGAGTCCAAAGCAGACGGGTCTCCGTAGTTCTCGGGGTAAAACACCACCAGAGCGCTGCCCTGGCAGACAAGAGTCTAAGAGTCCCGCGTGTAAGGTCGAAACTCTACTTTTCCACAGGCCGCTGCCGATACACTCTACAGCATGGCTAGTGAAGGAACTTGCTCAGCGGATGCACTGCACTCCGCTCTCTAACTTGCACCTGCTGTCTGCCGGGACAGACCAGCACGATGCGATCTCCAGACGAAAGATAGCACAAACCTCGGAAGAGCGAACCAGCCCAGGGTCTCGCGATGAACTCCAGCCTTAAGACCCTGGCCCTTTGGGTTCTCTGTGGTCTCGATTGAGTCCATGAGGCTCAAAGTCTTCAAGCCATATACCCACACCTGAGGCAGCAGTGGCAGAAGCCCCCCCCAAAGATTCCACGCTGCCCCACGCTTCGATCTGTCTGAAGGAGTGCAGGCCGGAATTCCCTTCCCTCTGACTTCTTGGAGTCGTACGGTGCCAGGCCTAGGTACGAGCATCTGTTCTCGAAATGTCTGGCCTTATTCAGAGTGGCCACAACAACCAGGTCGCGTCGCAGCCTGACGGGTGCTGTGAGGAGGCCTGGGCTCCATGCCCTCGCAGTTCTCCGAGAACATGAGCCTTTGGGAACCTTCGGCTCCTAAAGGCCCCGGAGCCCGGCCTCACCGACTTCACCGTCGTTTTGAAGCTGAGCTCCGCCATGACCCTGGTGTGCCGATCATCCCACAGGACGACCTCCGAAGGCAAAGAGAAGTTCACAGCGCCCTAGTCGCCAGGCGCAAGCGACTCCCGGCCTTGTTGGGTTGAAATCGCGGGTTCTTTCCGCCCCCCGAGAAGGCCAAGATGTTCGTCCGAAACTGGCAGAGGCGACCAATGTGAGAAGTTGCATCGGATTGTGCAGGCTCCGAGCAGCACAACACGCACCCCGGAACCAAGGTCAAAAGCGCCCCGCGCATCTCGCACACAGCTTACATTAAGTCATGAAGGTCCTTGTGCTCAACCGGTGTTGACTTCACACCGACTTGCTTTGTTGCTCGTGGAAGACGCTACCCTCTTTGCAGCTAGGGGCTATGTCCGAAATGCACGGAGACAGAGTTTAGGAAGGAAGTCAATGGAGAAGGCTTGGCAAAGAAGGCAGCACTTCAGCACTTTATGCCGCAAGCAGGGCGGCAAGCGGGGGCGGCAGTCTCACCGCCACCGGCGCGCACGTCGAAGCAACAATCGGCTTCTGCGAACTACAACTTGATACCTTGCTCCAAACCTCAGCAGTTCTGGCACAAGCTGGGCGGCAATTTCACTGCCCGGCACGCACAAAGGCACAACCTATCGGCCGCTTCTCATTCTCCAAAGTTGAGCAGATCTGCTGCAAGCTGGGCGGCAGCTTCACCGCCACCGGCACAAATGTCGAAGGCACAGTCGGCCAAGAAGTTATCTTGTGCTGCGGCATTTCCTGATTTGCCTAAGTGTTTTTGGCACATGCTCACAGCCGCGGTCTCCTCTTCGGCTGTGCAGCGATTCACAGCTGCCAAACTCAGTTGTGCAGCTTGCAGCGATGCCAAGTAGCTTGCAGCTGTCTCACTTCCACCCAAGTTACTCCAGCTTGAGTGCTCTGCAAATTCCATGTCTGAGGTCGCAAGGCTCACTCCTCTGCCTTTCTTAGAGCCCGTCACGAGAGAAGAGTGGCCGGTAAGAGCCAGTTCTCCCTTGACGAAGCGATTATGCATCACACTCGACATTTTCAGCTTGGCTGCGAGGTGATTACCTGCCCTGCAGGTTACCCATAGCTGCGCAACCTTTGTCAATCCGCTCTGTGTGCCCATAAACAGCTGCACGCTGTGCAGGAAAGTGGCTGGAGCTCCTTTCGCAGACTTCGTAACCTTGAAAGCACCAAAGATGGCACCATCAGCATCCACCAGATTCTGGAGGAAGCCGGCATCATCCTTCTTCAACTTCAAGGTTTGCCAGCTGTCAAGCTCCGTTTTGGTCTTCCAGGCGCAGTCCTCGGAGGTGAATTCCAAAGCCTGGCGCAGCTCTGTGACCCCGGAGTGGTCAACCAACAGAATTCCTTTTGCCCAGGACCCTTGGCCTGCGTAGTTGGCATAGATTCGGAAATCCAGTGGAACTCTCTTCATGACGCCCTTCGGTGAAGGAACTTCGGCATCCAAACCGGAAAAGCCCCATAGTAGAAAGTTCCCTTGAGCTCGGACCATATAGTTGCGTCCATCCAAAGTGGAGATGTGTGGATCGCCATGCATGCCACCCCCGGTGGCACACGAGGAGCAGTCAGGCGGATCTGCCAAGCCTCGGTCGCAGAAAGCCGATGGAGTTCCATCGCTCTTGCAGATGTTCTCGCCACATGGAGCTGCCGTCGAAGGTTCATTGCAAGTCAAGGTCCCCACCAGACTGCTGCATCCAGGACCACTGCAGAAGCAGGAGTTGCCACTTGAGTCGTCTTCATTCACGGCCATGCCGCCGCAACTAATGCTGTCTTCGCACCGGATGTGAACACATGATGACTCGCTCAATGAGATCACTGAATTGTTGCAAGTGTTTCGGGAACATTGCAGCTCTGCTTTGCCGGCATTGAAGGACATCTGGCTCTCTTCGCAGGGCTGTGCGAAGGGTTCTCTGGGACTACCTGCATCGAGGCACTGAACGCAGTGAGTCCCACCCCCGGCGAAGCTAAAGTTGCCTCGCCGACATGCGACGGGGCGGGAACAGAACAAATCCTTGGAGAGGAACATGTTGGCCTCTTCGCAGGCATTGAAACTGCGACAGGCTGCCGAGCGGGCTCCGGAGATGACAGCTCCATTACTGCAGGATCTGATGCCTCGGCAACAAACGTCCTGGTCACAGTTCGGATTCCCTTTGACCAGGCGGAACTCGTTGGGTAAAACAAGGCGGTCATCGTTCCGGCACGCTTGGTTCCCATCGCAGCACAAAGCCGAGAAGTCTCTGAGTCGGAAGCCGAAGCAGGCGGAGGGTCCCGTACAGTTCAAGTAATCATTCGGATTCTGAAAAGAGTAGGAATTGACATTGTTCCGTTCGATGGTGCAGGTTGCAGCCTCGTTGATCGGGGGCGGGTCGTTGAAACAGTAGAGAAATCCACTGGGAAAGCCGTTGCTGTCGTTCGTAGGGATCTTCATCCCGTCTTCTGAAGGCTCACAGCGCAGGCATGCACCGTCCCCAACACAATCCCCCGAGTTAAGGACACTCAGAGGGCAGCGGGGCCCCTGACCATCTTTGGCTTTCTGGAGTTGAAGATGCCCGATCTCATCTGCTTCGCACTCAGGTTCACCAAGACTTGCACATGTACCAACCAAAAGACCGACAACGACCGCTCTCCAATTCACAAACATGGCACTTGCTGGCGGACCTTTGCCACCGGTGAATTAAGCATCTCTGATGGCTTCACTGCTCCCAAGAGAGCCGAAAGTGCAGTAAACCCGACTAGCACTGAAGTGCATCTGAAGAGCTAAGGCCAAAATCGGTAAACAGTGCAGGCAAGCCAACAAGTGCGCCGGGCCACCAGCATACAAACGACTCCCAAGCCGCTGCCATCCTGCGCGTAGCTGGGCCATGCTGGCGCAGGGCTCCATATGGCTCCATTACCATTACACAATCGGTACACTGATACGAGAAAGTTGAGAACTTATCTCCGAGGCTCCTCGAAATCTCGTCTGAAAGTGAGGTGGAAAGGGTCCTGGAAAGTGCGGGTGCAGTGGCTGCCAGTCCATGATCATTGCCAGCATGTTCAATTCGGTTTACGACGTGATGCTCGAATCCGGTGAGGTTCCAAGGTCGTTGGGAGGGAAGGAGCGTGCTGGTGTTTTTGGACAGTAGCATGGATACATCAGGCCCCGTCCGCGCTGTAGACACGGAATCCGCTCTCGGTCCCGCAGACGAAGCAGGTGAAATCCTCTCAACCCACCCAGTGTTGCGGCTGAGAGACTGTCAAATCACAGTATTCTGGTCTATGCGCTGAAGGCGGGCAAGCTTCAGAAGAGCGCAGAGACACTGGGTCCGAATGCCGTGTCGGATAATTTTTGACACTCTCGCGCAACACATGGATTGGGTGACAGCATGCTGTGACTCCCGGTAGCACTGGCCTGGTTAAAGCTCACATAAAGGATCTCATTGACCTGAGCCAATCCGGCAGAAGCCCCGGCAAACCATCCGACAAGCCTAGGATTGTATCAACCTGGATGCTTGGAGTCTGTGTTTCGTAGATCGTCTCGGCTTGTCTCGTGGACGAGATCAGATCCGAGCGGCTGGGTTGGCTTGCAAGTCCATCGACATGTCGCTGCATGGGGAAGCCTGAAGGCCCAAAAAGCTCAAGCGACGTTGCGGAACATTGCGGCATATCGACCAGTCTCTGGCAAGCAGCTTGCTCCTCAGCCGCCTGTGTGCTTGTGATCTCCCACGTCCTGCCTCAACCAAGCCGGAAGATTGCTTGTCCCAGCCGCAAGGAATTCTCCGAGGGTCTTACGGACGGTGAAACCTGGGGTGTTGGGGGGTTGGGAGGGGGGGCATCTGAGTGCGAGGATATGTACGTATACATTTATACATCTTCAAAAACTACACAACATATACAGCGATTCGACATTAATGAGGATGCTATGCTACCCGTTCAGGCAGTGCGCTTTGTGTCGTGGAGTGCTCTACAGTCTGGCTTCACACGGCATCCAGTACAAATCGATGTGGACCTTGCAGCTTTAGCCCTCCAACGTGAAACAAGGCTGATGAGGCTTTGTCGGCCGTTTGCCTAAAAGCGAGTCGCCTAGAACTGAGCAAAACGGCTGCCGCGACTGCGCCACTTGGAACAGCGGTCCCGATCGGCGGGCACGGATGGTCACGGGACATCCTGCATTAAGGTCTGTGCCAGGAGCCTGTCACCAGCATAAGGCTCAGGACAAAGCACATGCTTCATCAGCCAAGACTTCCAAAAACCAATTTCTTGGCATGACGCACCTGCATCTAAATTTTGCCGGCACAGGTCAGCGAACTTTTCGACATGTGAAACTTCCGTGCTAGCTCGGCCGCGCGGCCAAAGCTGGCAGATGTTGCAGAGAAGCGAATACTGTGCCACTCCTGAAACTTCTTTGAACCCATGATTCTAAGCACCTTCCTAGTACAAAAGCCGAAGTACTGACGTAGCGTCGAACGGGGGTGCCATCTGTTCATCAGAACTGCTTCCTGATACATGCTTTTGCTACTCGATGCTGTGCGGCCCAGGCCGTGCCGCTGGCATTATCCTGGGCCCTTTCGGTGCACTGCTGGTTTCACCTGCACAAGCGATGTCCATGGCACATGCGGAATCAGTGCCCGAGTGCTTCACTGCTGATTCTCACATTATGATAAACACAAGATGTTTATCTTTGGATTCGGCAGTGCATCCAAACTCGGGGCATTGCTGTCTGCCTTGCCCAGAGTCCAGAAGTGGGGCAGCCTCCACGCTCACCTGCCGGGTTCTGACTGCCGTTCACATGGATATTCAGCTCAGCTTGAAGCTGCCAGGACGAGCTGTGCGCTCCCGACACTTCTAGGTGCCAGGCCCGGGTTTGAGGATAGCCGAACTTTCCCGGCCAGAATCCTGGATAACCTGGCAGAAAGACACATGTCAAAGAGAGAGACCCGGAGAGAGACAGCCGAAGGGAGCAAGACAGAGAGAGAGAGAGAGAGAGACAGACAAACGGACGGCGCCGGGTATTCTTTCCGGCGGCCGGGGAGGTCTCGGGGAGGCACCTGCACTCCGCACCGCCACGCTTAATTAGATATATCCTCCAGTCTCAAGGCCGTTCTCAAGGCGCTAGAACTGGAGCCAACTTGAGGAATACCCGGCAGTTGAAGCTCTGTGGGAGCCGAGCATTAGCTGGACTTGGACCTGAAAACATTTTCGCTCTTGAGCAGCCTGACGAGATTTGCCACATCCTGGCAAAGCATGCAGGAGTTTCGAAACTCCGGCGTCGTGTAGTTCTCAGCGTAGATGGGCTCCTGGCTGAATGGAGGCAGGCCACAGCGTGCCAGAGACGATACTGCAGAAAGCTACGATTCTCTGCAGACAAGTTCAAGTGCTGGGAGAGCAGTGCAGCAGCTCACCATATCCGCAGCAAGTTTTGGCTTCAGGCGCCGAATCACGCAAACGACCAACCCAAGCTGACAACGGAAAGAGTGCTCTCCTGGTACTTGCGCCGGTCGAGATGCTCACGCCGAAACTTGTACTGGAATCGATAATGGTCCAAGTAGAACATGGTCCGCCTCCCGACTGTTCGGTCTTGCGCATGCTACAGTAAATCAAAATCTGGCGGCGCCTGGATGAGCAACATGTAGGAGAATTGAGACGGCTTCTGCTGAACCAACTTCCATGCCCGAGTTGGAACGGCAGTGTTTAGCTACTAGTAGGTGTGGGCCCTTTTCGCCAGCATGGCTCTTCCCTGCCTCCGTCTTGCGAAGTACTGGGTGATCCTGTGGCAGAAAGAGAATAGCAGAGGAATCGTCGCTGCGGATCTTTAAGGCTTGAAGCCGCAGATGCTAGCCCTCAGTTATTGGAAGCCTCGAAATGTGCAAGCGAGGAATGATCACGTAAGGTGCCGCGCCAATGAACAATAACATCCTTTTATTCTGGATCAGACCCACCTCGACCCTAAGCACTCTACATTAGAGTAGAGTTAAAGCAGTAAGGTGACAGGCGGACAAGTGCACCACTTTCCGAGACTGAGCGAGTGTATTCTCTGAGGTTCCAGCCGCTTCTTGGGGACGACCGGCATCGCTTCTGCTTCCAGAATTAATGAGAACGCAACATTTTTGGCAAAGGTCTCGCAACTACCTGTGAGAATGTGTAAGTCAGCATTAAAGGCATGAGGCCTTCTTCCAGTATCAGCATTAGAGGGCTCTCCCACTAGACACTAGACTTCTTTTAATACTGCTGAATTCGAAGAAGTAATCTCCTTCTTCCCAGGATTCCTCCGGTACGTTGAGGCACATGGCTTGTGCATTATGCTCTGTCCTTGAGCCGGTTCTTGATTAGCTGCGTGTTCAGCGACTGTGACTACCAGAACAGCCACCCCTCCACTCAGACTCAGAATGTCTCAAGCCGTGCCAAACCAAGACTATCACAATGTCAACCAAAGCTGTACTATGTCGCCTTTGCAACCATCAAGATCTTGTTGCAGACTGCTCCTTCGTCTACGTTCATGTGTAAGCACAGTCTGCCGCACCTGGCCTGCAAGTCCGGGGATCCCGAGAGTTCCATCAAAGCTTTTCCGCGACTGTCCGGTGCATGGAGCCGCTCGCCTCGGCATTTTGGACATTGTGCGAAGACCCAGGTCGATCTCCGTGCCACGCGATTTGTGACTCATGATGTACGTCGCTATGCTCCGAGATCGCCGAGAGGATGAGGGCCAGCTCCTGTCCCCACCTTTGGCGGAGAGCTGTGAAACCTAACGCCGAGGTTGCACTCCGACCATCTCCTGAGCTGCAACCTGCCGGCCTTCCTGGGATTCCATGCGACAGGCCTGCAATCCATTCTGAAGGAGCTTTCCTAGCCTCGCCTCTACGGAACCCTCCGGAATCCTGTGAACTTGAAAAAACAAGAAAAGATGCACTTCCCCGGATGCTCTGCACCAGGGGCTTCCGAATTAGCAGCTCCTGAATGCCTGAGCGAAGCCCTGCAACCATCTTAGTCTGAAGGCACAATGCTTGACTCAGCAACGCAGCATTTGTGGAGCTCGTGCAGACCCCATCATTCACAAGCCAATGCGTTTGTCGCTTGCTGCATGGACCTGCGGCACATTGCTGGAGGAGAGCGTTGTTGGGTTCTGCCCGGGTCGTTGCTGAAGAGTACTTACCTATGTCCGTGTTACTGGCAAAATGTCCATCTCTTCTGTCCGCCAAGCCTCTCACACGCCTTGTGAGTGCCTCTGACTCATGCATTTTGAGTGGCGGTGGGGGAAGGACCAGATAGCCCTAGACACGATTTTGACTTGGGTCACTCCTGCTTAGGTGTTGGCAAACGACAACTCCCGCAAACTCTACAGAGCTTGCGTTCGTGACAAGGCAGGCTTTTGTGTGGCACAAGTGGGATAAGTGACGAGCTTTCAATCTCTGCCACCGACTATGCACGGCCGAGCAGTATGCAAAGGTATGTTGGCAGCAAAGATCGCATACTATCTTTCTGAGTACCGGGTGTGCTCCACTTCATTCGAGACTCGCGCCCTCAAAGATACAGTTCTTTCGTCAACTGGCTCTGTACAAGCTGCGAGTAGCGTCCCATCGTCCCAGACCAGTGCCCTCGCGAGGTCCATAGCTGAGCGGCGCCAGCTTCAGGTTGAGCTCTGAGAGCTCGGAAAGATACCGGTCGTCCCCCACAGCTGCCTTCATTGGGCTAAAGGTATCAGACTCAGGCGGAGGTCGCGCATAATCGAACATGTCAGCAGATGCTTCTAACGAACCACGTTTGCTTTGTGTCCTTTGTCCAGGTGAGAGAGTGGCTGTACCAAAGTTTTCCAAGAGCTCGAAGACTGCATGCTCCAAGCTTGACGGACCCGGGAGAACTCTCTGAGGTGACGGTGCAAGGGTTCTCTCGTATACAGCACACACAGCTCTGAATCATTCTAAACACCACCTTTGCCTTGTCCACCGGCGTCTCACTGGCGGTGGAGGTTCCATCGCCTGACATAAGCTGGCAAGAGCTGGCTGGCAAAATACTGCACACGCCGTTCCAAGACGAACGTGTGCAAAAGAGTCAACAAACCTTTCCACAATCAAACCTGCATCCGGATCAGTGTCGCGAATGGCTGTGGGGTCCATCTCATCACGCCGTGGCGCCTGCAAGGGATCGGGAGATGTATCTTGTTCGAGGTGCGCACTTGATCTGAATTGTCGGTTTTGCAGCCAATTACGAACTGCAAGAAGCCCTTCTTCAACCTGCTTGTGGACTCTTCTAGCTTATTGCAGCGTGCCGGCGATGTAAAGCAAGGCTGGTCAGCACAACACGTTTGCAAACCTCTCCACTGAGAGCTTCTCGCACCTCACCCTAACAATGAAACGACTATTGCAGCTTTCGAAGCGTGGACGCCTTCAATTGACCCTCAGGCCTCCGGAAGTTGCGCCAGTGGCATGGCGAGGCTGCCTCCGGAACAAAAGCACAACACATGGATGCCTTCACGTTGCCTGAACCCTCTGGGAGCCATCGTGAGCGTGCTTCGACTCGAGTGTGCTCGGAATGCAGGGCCGTGCATTCATGTGGCAATCAACCAAAGCTGAAGGCAATTGAAGTTTCGGGCCAGCAAATTGAAAGGGCATGCCTGCCCCACTTGCCGGGGAAAGCGACGAAGAGCTCGAAGAGCTGTCCGTCCTGAAGCAACTCGAGTTGAAACAAACGCTCGCACCTGGTGATCAAGTGTCCTAGTCCTAGACCTCGGCTGGTTTTTCAAAGCCGACAGGGCCGACATGGGCAACGCCCGGCTTCTCGGAGCCGCACCGAGATGTTCGGCGAAGTCCGTCCTCTGGATAGGCGGGCCTGTCCCAGGACGAGGCGACTGCACAAAACAGTTCCGGCAGCCTGGACCTCGCGAAATATCTGCAGTAGCTTTGATCAATGAGTTTGGTCGATTTCATGCTGCCTGCTGGAACCGCGGCTTACCGCGTTGCTGGCTGTGGACCTAGCACAGAATTCAAGCTTGATGTAAGTCAGTAAGTCTTTTGCCTTAGTGACTTAGTGCAGCATCCTGCAGCCATGCAGCCTTAAAAGTATCACGGAAGCACAGCACAGAACACTGCCAGAGCCTCTGGGGACCGTTTGGGCTGGCCTTCCCCATACTTTGACAATGTTCGCTACGACTCTCCCTACACCCCCCACGGCTATAAGACCGAGGCGTTCTGAAGTCCATCTGCCACTCGCTCCAGTGGGCGCGATCCAGGTGCTCCTGCTCAGGCGGTGTCGCTCCACACGAAGTGCCCTCTTAGCCACTCTAGCCGCGGTATGCCGCAGTGTCGGTCCAGCTGCTCGGCTGTGAGTGGCGCTGGGACGTCACTGCGTGAATGGCTCCGAATCGCCTGGTGGGCAGGTCGAAAAATCTACTTCCACGTGATAACAGTGCTGTAGTCACAGCCGGAACGAAGAAGCGCCAGTGTCAAAGGCTCAATCCCGAAATCATAAAGACGTCCAGCCCCCCCCCCCCCCCCCCCAAAGAGGCTATAGCCTCGTCATGCCTCTTCCTGATGAAACATCTCCGAGCAAATCTCGGGTTCTCTCGAGTTGTCGTCCCTGCCCATTCGCACCTTCGAGAGCGGTGGCGCGCAAATCGTCGGTGGAAAGCCAGGGCCCTCCGGGTGCCGCGACTCCTCCGGCTTGACGCGATGCAGCGAAGTCCAGACTTCTCAACTTCTCAACACATCTAAACATCTGCTGTGACACTTCCAAGACGTTCGTGGAGGGGCACGCCTTGCTTTTGTGGGTGGGCGAGGCGAGGTGTCTTGCCGTGGCATGACACTCTGCAGTCGATTCTACAGCACAGGCCACATGCCACAGCGTTTCACCTGCCTTGCATGCCTTTTTAAATGTCAGACATGCTTGGATATGCTTGGTGCATGTGTGCGCGTGTGCGCGCCTCATGCATATGTGCACGCGTTCTTGACTGGACATGAACTCAGCTTGCAAGACGATGCGATAACTCCTGCGAAATTCTGCCAGGTGCAGGGGCGAGGGTGGGGGTCTTAGCATCATACATGTTAGGGTAGCTGCAGTCTGGCTTTACGCAAAAGATTCAAGTTGTGGATGCATCGCGGTGCCTCCGAGTTTGGGGAAGAAGGCGGCAGCGCTCGAATAGGCTTCGAGGGCCTGCATCTGTGAGGTCTCTGGGATAGTTCGGGCTGCGATGGCCGTAGGTTCGATGGAACTCTCGGGGTGACCTCGCTTAGATTTCGGGGACAGCTGGATAGAGGTGCATTTCTATCTGCGCCAGCTTGGCCTGCAAAGCACAAACACCTGGACACGGACACAACTTAAACTGGCAAAGCATGACACACCCGGGAATGAGAGAGAAAACCACCTCCAACCTCCCTGTTTAATTGATCCGATGACGATGCGCATGACGCCTTCCTATGCTCAGAACAGAAACGCTTGATGTCCACCTTCGGCTGTGCCACGCTGAGGGTGTGTCGGATTGAACGCACTGGACCTGGCACTTGCAAACGGCACTTCCTGAAGGTCCCTTCCTTAAAGCGGCTGCGCACTGAACCGGAATGCAGCAATTGCCAAACGACGAACCCTACAACTTTCCGCAAACTCTAGTTAGCAAGTTGCAGCCCAGCTAGACATCGACCCTAAGCGTCTTAGTGCACTCCTCGAAGCAGTACCTGGCTCCATCCCTGACACGCTGCGCCTGTGCTGGTTCCCGCTGGCTTGCCGAGGAGCTCACCGCAGTTGCACTCTGCGGTGCACTCTGAGGGGTGGAACCTGCAGGAAGCTGCAGCTCCATGCAGCTCCCAGACCAAGATGCCAAGAGCAAACAGAATAGACTGCCCTTAGTTCCTCGATGCTTCTCGCGATGTTTATGTGTCGGTGCCCAAACGCGAACCCAGGTGACGTGTGAGTGCCTCATCGGTCGGCTGGATGAAGGAAGTTAATTTTGTTGTTTGTGTGTTCCAACTAGACCAGCACTGGCAGAAAGGGTCAGTGCGCAGGGGACAGGCTGGCCTTAGAAGCGAGATTGAGACCACAGAATGCCAGAGACGCCGTGCAACAGCCTGCAACATGGCCCCTGCCTCGACTCGGGAGCGGTGGCCTAGGGGCAGTGGCAGGGCAAGGAAACTCCGACCTCTGGCGACTCCGGAGCTTCCCGAGTCCGAGGATCCAGCAACTGCTTTCCATGACCTCTGCTGGGCCTGCCACACTGCAGCATCTCCCAAACAGCCTTTAGAAGGAAAGGGGCAGCCGAGGCAACCTGGATCCCGGAGTTTCAACTTGACACCCAGGCCTTGGCAAGCTCGGTGGCTGTCTCAGCCTTACAGCATTTTCATGCCTGGTCTTCGTGGTGCGTGAATCTTGCCGTCTTGCTGTGGGAGATATGACGCAAGCCAGAGACGTAGTTAATTGCAGTGCTTTTTTCGTTTTGGCACCTTGCCACACTGTGCGGTTGCTCACTTTCAAAAGCCCAATCCCGTAGCTGCACATTCCAACTCCCAAAATGCCAATTCCGCAGTTTTGCTCGGCTTGCCTGTCCGGCAAATTTGATGCCTTCTTCCGAAAAGATCTCAGCTCTGGGCCCACTACTCGTACCTGTGAGGGTGGTAATTTGGCCCGCTGACTTAGTGTGAACCTTTGTCTGCGGCCTGGGCCTGATCAGAGGCTAGGAGTACTGCCACGACCTCTCAAGGAGCAGGCTGTTGACGCTTCACAGCTGCCATAGCATAGCTGCCGCGAGCCTGGTCGTGACTCTGAGCACGCCCGAAGGCACATGCCCCCGGACTCGTCAAGCACACACTCCAAGGCCAGGAAGAGGGAACTTTTGAGCGACACTGTTCACTTTTTCGCACCCATCTCCGGCGTTGCTTGTGGTAGGCGCCTTTGGCCGCCAAATTTAAAAAAGTGAAAGCGATATGCTGGTAGACACGAGGCCGAACCACCGGAGTGGCAGGATGATGAGATAGGCCTCAGCACAGGAGCGTACTTCCTCCAACCAGTCTGATTTTTCACTGCAAGCTGCTCGTCCCCAGTTCCATACAAACTCGGGCTGTCGACGCCCTACTTCAAGATGACGGATACACCCCGTGCAAGCTATAAGCAAGAAGCTTGCTGAAGGAGTCCGGTGCTTTAACCCGTCATTCCTCACGACTGACAAGCCGCCAGCAGCAGGAAAAGCACCAAATTGCCTGCGTTCCAGATCCTCAGGACAGGCTGCGGCATGGCTACGTAAGTGAGTTGAACCACTGCTAGCAGCCTTCGTTCCACTCGCCATTTAGCACTAAATTTCCAGATGGGGGGCAGTACGTGGGTCTAGTGACGAGGCCTGATTCTTTCTCAACGCGCTCACTGTGCGGCGCCTCGACAGCATAACTGCATAACGAATTACTGTGCATTTTGTGGGAGCGATGATGATGTGCAATCCGTGTTGTGAGCAGCTCGAGAGCTCTCGGTGTGAAGCTGCTACGCTTCTCAGTCATGCTTAAATATCCGTCCTTTTCATAGGCCTTCCGTTTTTCGTTGTTGGACACACTCAAACGACTGTTTTACGGGGCTCGATGCGGTCGAAAAATCCTGTCTATATGGCAGCAAGACGTGAAACATGCAGACAAGCTGTTGAAGCCAGGCGCCAAGTACCTCAAAACATCGCATACATCGGAAAGCTGGACTTGCCGAGAAGCTCCCTACTATTTCCTAGTGCCTTGCAGAAGAGGCTCCAGAGCATCCAGGGAAGGTACTTGATGGGCGCTGCGCGGTCGTAGATCCGGATGCACGCGGGCTGCAGGAGGCAAAGCATGCACTGACCACAGCAAGTGAAAACTGGAAACTCCTGATATCTAACAGTACTGCCATGCAACCGTCCTTGACGTCTCGAAAGGCTTCGTAGCAAAGGTTGATGTTCAAATAGCCTGGGAATGGGATGGGCGTCGTCCAATTCGATGGCGGACAAACTCAACGATGAGTCTCGTGTGGAGGCAAAGTCATGCTTTCATTCACGGGACACATCAGTGCCACCACTCTACTACATTGGGTTCTACGTGCTAGGTGGAGAGTCTTCCACCTGCCGTCAAGCTGCAGAGCTCCCCCTTCGACCCCACGACTTCCAGTGGCGTGGTGAAGCGGCAGATGACCTGCAACAGAATCACGACTGTAGCGTGAGGAGCTCTCTACTGCTTGGGCCATTTAGAGGGTCTCTGCTGACGTCAGGGACATATCACCAAAGGTGGCATAGATCTGACAAGTCCGAAGTCCTAACAGGCACCTGCGAAGATCCAAAGTAAAGTCATAAAGACCTTCAGCCAGTTCCCAGAGCCTGGCAGCATATGGTCTGTGCCAAAGCGACTAGGAAGGCCCGGCCGACTGGAAGGCCTGGAGGAAATCTCAAAACGTCTCAAGCATCTCACTGTGCAAAGCTCGTAGAAATTTTGTAACGTCTGGCGGGCGGCTACTGCTCTTCAGCCAATCCGCTTGTACTCCATTATTGATGTCTGGGGGCGAGCGAAGCTGCAGCACCAAGGTGCAACAAATGCCCAACACGTCAAGCCAAAGCTGTACAAACGGTCAAGAGTGATCTAGCTCGGCCGACAAATGCAGCCAGCTTGCTTCGGCATTGACAGCCCACGAGAATCACCTGAGGCGGCAGGTGCACTTCAGCTGAAAAGATTGGTTGTGATGTCTCGGGTGGTGCTTCACAGCAATGGTTCCGTAACTTCTATAGCCACCTGAATAAAATCAATTTGGTCGCTCGTATCTCTGAGAGACCGTTGGTAATTGGCGCTGGTAGATGCTTTTGGAACGGGCTTACTGGACAGTCCAAAGTTGCTTGCGATGACGTCGCCGCGTCAGTCCTCTAGAGAGGCTGAGGCAGACACCAGCGGCTCAAACAGCACGTGGTGTACGCAGGAGATGCGCCGAGACAGCCTCTGGAGCTGATCCGAATAGGGACGCTTCAAGCCCGGGAGGGGATGCTCCTGGGATACTAGCTCTAGTTTAGGTACACGCGAAGTCTTAGCATCCCAAGAGGCGGCGTACTTGGCCACAGAAGGTAGCCGACCACTTTGAGCGGCAGCTTTCCCAGCAGCAAATAGCCTGAGATTTGAGATCATGCGAGAGCTTTCGGGCCAGGTCGATCTCCTCAATCTAGACTGCAGCTACCTGTGTTTGCAGGCACGGGCCTCTGCTTTTCCTGTACGAACCCACTGCACACCATAAGCCGAGGATCCAAGAAGGTCGACATACCAGAGGACTTGGTCAATGGCCACTAAAATACCTCCAACACGACGCAAGGGGGCACACTTTGCTTGGGGTGATTTACTTTGGGCCCAGAAAACTTCCACCGCAAGTATGCCTCAACCCTGGAACGTAGCACAACAGAATACTACAAGCGTCGCGAACTGCGATCCATCTACGGGGAGCATGCTGCAAACTCCTGAATGTGAGATACACAGTACAGCCCAGGCAACAATTTCTGCAAAACATCGGCGGACGAAACTCTTCATCACAGATGTTTCGGACATTCTTCCGATGAATCGTCGATTGAGGGTTGCACTCAGTCTTCTAATTCTTGCTACATCCTCTAGACCATTTTTGGACTCGCAAGCACCAGCTCCAATCAATCCGCCCCGTCTCTGAAACTGTTGCGCCATCTACCCGCCTTGTGCGCACAGCAGGACCGGGCGGTGCAGGAAGATAGCCTCTGCGTGATCCCGAGCTTCATTGCAGATGCCGACCAGAAGAGTCAAGTACAGATGAAGCATAGCAATTAAAAACAAAACAACGCTGATTGTGGAATTGTGGATGCTGGCATCTCATGGACCGGTCCGCGCTTTGAATACTGTGAGCCTACTTGTATTGAATAGGGCACAACCTCCACATGGCAAGTGCTTTCATAGTTTTTCTCGGAGCTCAGACTTTAAGAGTCAGCGCGGATCACAGCAGATCTACTGACTTGCTCCCAGCCACGAGTGCCGCGGCAGGCATGGCAAAGTTGCAGGAAAACATAAGCCTCAGTTTTGGTCGGAGGGCTAGCGGATCACCCACGTCCTACTGCACACACCCCGAGCAGCACAACCGTCAAGCCTGCCTACCTTGCTTCCCATGTACGTTCATGGGAAAGCAGAGGAGACAGCTATAAAGTTGTAAACCGACAGATTTGGGGGTTTCCGAAATTAAAATAGGGGACCCTGATATGGTACCCTAAATAGTAGGATATCCTTATTATGAGGACCCTACTTTTCGGAAAGTCCCATTTGCTGGCATGAGCAGCTGGTAAACGTCCTGGGCTATGCTTGCGGTTTCGCAACCTTGGCTCCGCTGTCGCTTTCCGGAGAGTTGCGTCGTGGGGCACCAGTGAAGTCTAATGAAATCCCTGAGCCCAGGCGGGCTCGCAGTCCTTGAAGCTGCAAGTAATTTTATATACTATGGTACTCTTGGGCTTCCATCGCTCCGTGGCCCTTTGAAAGCTCAAAGTGACCCTGCCTTCACAGGTAAGGCCCTTCTTCAGCGTCCTGCTGTACAACCCAGGCCAACACCTCGCAAGTGCTGACGTGCCACGAAGTCGAAGGAGTACCAGCCAGCCTAAGCTGAAATCACTTGCTGCATAGGCCTTCAATGGCCTGTAATAGGACTGTGGCTTTGTGGAGTGGGCCTGTGGAATTAACCTTAGGGTAGCAATGGATTGGAGGCGCAGATGTCCTGCTGCGCGCCCGAGTTGTCACTTTAGGCTCCTGGTCTTCGCATCATGCTCAGAAAGTAGATCTTTCAGCTTCTATGTCCAGCTGCTGCATGGGCCATCTACATCTGCAGCCACCGCCAAGCGCGTAAGGCAAAAGATCTACTCTGCACACTTTGCCCGAGGAGCTCCAGTACCCCAGAAGCAGCCAGACAGCCCATCTTGATTGCGGCAGCTTGTCGTCGTCCGAGCCAGGAAGGAGGTAGTCCGCGACTGAGTTGCTCAGCATGCACGTCGCACATGCAGAGAGTCTTGGCGAAGTTTCGTTTCAGGGGCAAAACACATCAGTTGCTGAACATCTTTAGAGGCAAGCCTCGGTCGTCTTGAAAAGTCAGGCCATAGCATGGAATGGCAAGGGTGGAGCTTGCACTACGTTGCCCTATGTAGCCTGTTATCGAACAAGATTCGAAACTGCCTCGAAGCCATCTAAGCTCTCCGGCCCCTGCTTCAAAGGCTGCACCCTGTTCTCGGCCAAGGTGCGGATGCCCACAGCGGACATTGCAACATACAGGAGGGTGCAGCTGACGATGGCATGAGCACTGCTTTGGTGCTTGGCCTCGGCAAGATAGTGAAAGCTACAAGTATGTGCCGAAGTCGAGTGCTCACGCAACCAGAAGCCATTCGAGTATCCAACAATACAGTGAGTACCAGTTGATTTCGTAGCAAAAGCGATCCGAAGACATGCTCGCACAGTGCAAAGCGTTCGGCATGCCGCTACTAACCAGGCGTGTTGCACAAGATGCACGCAAAACACCACGGGTGCCAAAGACTTCTGAATCGGAGCAAGATCCCCCCTTGGACTCCCCCTAGCCGCCCTAGCCTTTCGAGTTAGAAACGGCGTAGGGAGCGCGGGAGTCCTGACAGTTTTACAACATCTGCTCTTTCACGGCTTGGAATGTGCGGCCGGAGGCCAAGGCCCTAAACTATACCAAGCACTGATGCACTCAAGCAGATCATCAGATCGACGGCTCGACGAACGAGCTCTCGGCTCCATTCGTCTCAATCACGAAGACATCGCTGAGGATTGCTGAGGCATCGGCAGCATCTTTCTCGCCCTTTTCCAGGAAGCGCAACACATCATACATCTCTGCAATGAACTGGGCTTGTGCGCATGCGCGTAGGCCGTAGTTCCAGATGCGTGGATTAATTACGCAGACTCCGACATGGCCCGAAAAATTCAGCTTCTGGATCTTTCGTGTAAGTACACGAGACATGTCGTTCTCCCAATAATAGAGAGCAAAGCGGCTGCAAGTGGCAGTTCTCAGCAAATGCATTGTCCGGTCGCCCAGTGCTCCCAATGCCATGACAACTTCTGCGTCCAACTGCGCAGGCGTCAGGCCGAGAACTTGCCTCCCGCGTCCCACCAGAGCCGCTGCGTGCCGACACCGGCGACGGCAGATTGGTGCCTGCCATGGAAGGATGGAAGGACAGAAGGGTTGGTGCCGTGCCAACATAGGGGGCCTCCGGCAATAGCGAATTAGCTTCTTGATCAGGCCGGCCGGAGCAACGATGCAGGATTCATGCCGCGTGTGGTTCTATGACAGCGTACCACGGTGCTAGGGATTTTCTTTCACCAGCCTCATCAAGCCTGCTCCTACTGTGATGTGTTGATTTGGATTCATGTGGCAGACGGGATCCTGCCTGGGTCGCGCTGCAACAGAAAAATGCTCGGAACTACAGGGGAGGTACAATTAGAGAGCTACCCATACAGAACCCTTATAGTAACTATAGTACCCTTATAGAAACCCTTTTAGCCCCTTTTAAGGAAGCGATCGCGGTTGGAGTGCAGTGAAGTGCTGGGCCAGCTGCTTGCCGGTGCGGGAGCTGGAGGTCTCGGTACCTGTCCACAAGTGCTTCTGACATTATACCATACCATCATGTACTATACTATATATATACCATAATATACGATACTATACACCATAATATACTATACTATACTATAAAAATGTGGATGGAGCTAACAGTTTCCTGCTGCCTGCCTGGGGGGAGAAGTCCGGCGGAAGGCTGTGGCCACGTGAAGCCAGTTCGCGCTTCGGTTCTGCGGCCAAGGACAGGACTGGTGGCTCGCAAGTCTCCAACAACGACCAGGGTTCACGGTGACGAGGCTGCAGAAAAAAACTGTCACCATGAAAAGCCAAACCTGCTCAAGCGTCCTCGAACTGACCCCCGTCCCATTTCGGACAAGGCCCTTAGAGCCTTGAGGAGAAGAGGTCTCGCTGGGTGACTCGGCCGGGAGCTCCTGAGGAAGGATAGGCCACCACCCCACCAAGGATAAGAGGGTTACTTTGCAATTAGCTTGGTGAACCATCGGTGTAGACCCTGTGGCAGTTTGCAGGATCAAGGTGCACCATGATTGCTTGTTTTTAGCTGCTGCTGTTTCCTCATCAGAGACTCGCTCATCATTGCCTCACGACAAAGCGAAAAGCGCGGCTGCTTTCCTTCATACTTCTTGCTGAGATCTGCTGCTCAACAATGGATACAATTCAATGACGATCGGTGCTGCTGTTGCAGCTTGCCCATTCCAGCTCATCACAAGCAAAAGTCTCGAGCCCTGACGCCTCAGACCATTACTTCTCTTGCAGACCACATTTATGTGTAACATTACCACAGTGCCAATGATGCCGAGCTCGATTGATAGTAAGCATGCCACCGTGCCGACGTTGTCAGACAGGTAGCCGCGAGACGAGAGGTCCTCTTGCACACGAATCTGTGGCGTTTAGCAAATCGGCTCGGGGAACCGGCCACTACCAGATCCGGAAAATCAAGATATCTAGGCTTGCGAATGCTTGCGACGAAGTGGAATTCCCCAACAGTTCATCTTTGCCACTCTAGCGGCTAGCGGCTAGCGGTTCAAGGAACACGCGAAGAGGTCCCACGAATGTTCGCAAGAGGTCGCAGAAGCTCTCCACAGGCTCCATGAGAGAAGAACAGCATGCTTGCTCATTCCAAACTGCAATTCCCTCTAAGGACCATACCCCGTAGCGGTGGCGATAGCCTTCGAGCTCTCGCCTTTCGCACCGCTCGCTCACAAGCACACGGGAGATTCCCAGGAAAGGATTGCACAGGTGCCTAGCTTGATCGGTCTGGTTCCAGCGCTACGTACATGCATACGTACACACGTACATACTTACATACATACATACAGACACAGCCGAACCGGTCATACACATGAACCACAAAGAGAAATGATGATTGACACTCTTCCAAGGCTGGGACGACCACGCATGTATATTTCACAAACGTGGATGATTCCAGTACTTGGCTATAGCATCTTTACCACGGGCTCGTGGCCCGTAAGACCATGCGCAACTCACTGCGTCCCGGCGGCCGGAGATTTGCATTCTCTGACCGGAGCTCTTGCAAGACGCGCTGATGCTCCTCGTGCAGATGGAGACGCAACCACAGTTTCAACCCATGCCTGCAACCCTCTATGCTCTTGCAGCTGGGGCCGCAACATCCAGCTGCAGGATCGGAGTATTTTGGATGTTCATGGCCTGCATTTCTTGTGCTCAGCATTGCGAGGGAGGGGAGGGAGGATAGCAGATAAGTCGCCTGTTTTGTTAGGACTTCTAGATGAACTTGGGCTTGGGCCCCGGATTGCTATCACTCTCAGCTTTGGCACCATGGCAGGGCAAGCCCTCACAAACTGACGTCCAGCTCCAGCTGTAATCTGCCTGAAATCACGCAGTTCCCGCTTGGCCCTGGCCGACGACAGCCTTCTGCGCATAGTTGAGCGAGTTCACTGACTCCTCTGCGAAAGCCGCAGCGGGCGAGATGCAAGTGACCTGGCCAGGACTTCAGGGCTTAAGGTCAAGTTTAGTTTAGGGTGTGCGCTGAAGGAGGAAACTTCGAAAAATGGTGCAGGTACGACAGCGTGCATCTGCAAAATTCTGAACTTGACGATTCTGAAGAGTTCCCATCAAGTCGCCTGCACGCATCCCAGCAAATTCCTTGGCCAACTGCCTTTTCTAACGAGTATCTTGCAAACGATTAAGACAGGCCGGGTAAGGAACCATAAGGCAGAGAGCTGAACCGCCGAAGCTGTCCTTGTCCGATTTTGTCGAGTGCATCAGTGATCAGTATACTGTAGTTTTGTGTTTTTTCTTGCGGGGCTGGTTTCCAACTGCAGCCTGTAGCTGCAGCTGAAACTCCCGATCGGGCGCAGCCCGTATGTCAATGTCGGCTGGGCCCAAGTCTAAGAAGGCATAACCCTAAACCCTCAAATGTAATGAGCTTGTAAGCTAGGCTGAGAATCCGGTGAAAAAAAAAGCCGCGTATATTGACCCCAAACTCTAAACCCTAAAGTCCTAAAACCTCTAGAAGCCCCAAGAATATGACTTTGCAACTCCTGAAGCAGCTGCGTCAACTTGGAGTTCCGGTAGGGTATATGCCTGGTCCGAGGAGTTTGGGGGTTTTAGGGTGTTTGGGGTTTCAGGGCTTTAGGTTTTTGGGTTTCTTTAGGGTTTTAGGGCTTTAGGTTTTAGGGTTTTTTAGGGTTTTGGGAGAGTAAGGGTTTTTATGGGCTTTTAGATTTTTAGGGTTTAGGGTTGGGGTTTTAGGGCTTCGGGCTTTAGGGTTTTTTAGGGTTGTAGGGTTTTTGTGGGTTTTAGGGCTTCAGGGCTTCAGGGGGTTTTTAGGTTTTACCAGTAGGGTTTTAGGGCTTTTAGGGTTTGGGGCTTTAGGGGTTCAGGGTTTAGGGTTTTAGGGTTTGGGGTTTTAGTGTTTTAGGGTGTTAGGGCTTTAGGGTTTTAGGGTTTAGGGTTTTAGGGTTTTGGTCTTTCGACGAAAGGTGGTGTTCGAAACCAGCACACTACAATAGGCCTACTATGTATCCATAGACACCACACCCACACACAACGCAACCAACACACAGCTCCCACTCCGACCGACCTGCGAGTACGGATAGACAGACAAAGAGATCTAAGGTGCACAAAGGCTGCGAAATGGGCCTCTCGGCCTTGCCTTGGGAAAGCTGCGAAATCACCTCAGGGCATGGCCCACAGAGCTCACTGTATCTCACAGCCGCCGTTTGAAGTCATGATCCCTTCTCTTCTGATTCTGCCGGCCCAGCACCGGCACCCATCGTCTCGTCGTCTCGACATGCTATGATTCTACGAACAGCAAGTCGAGCAGACTTTCGTCACTGCCGGAATTGCTAGGACTCTCTGGCTCCTCGCACTCGCAGTCGCGCCTGTCCGAGGGTAAACAGGGATTTGTTGATCGCCTGCGGAGAGAGCAAAGCAAGCACTGGGTCGATGCAGGAACGAAAAGGAGCAGGCCCTCTACGATTCCCAAAGGCAGAGTTTCCCCCGACTGCTCGACTCTTTCGGGCTCTTTGGCCTTCAGCCGACGTTGCGGCATGGAATAAATGCATCAGGGAAGCCAGCAGCTCGCGAAGAAGCTGAGGGAAAAGCACTGCAAAGGCAGTGCAGCTTCGAGCAAGCGATTGCTGAGGCACATAGAGTACCTTGGCGGAGATGAATCTCCCCGCCGACTACGACCTATGAACCTATGACAAATGGAGCCTGGGAACTTCCTCAGAGCTCAGTTCGTCCTGCCTGGCCCTTGCCTGCCTTCTGGGCAGGCCTCGAGAGGTCCTTCGTAAGACTGATTGCTGGTCTCGGAACTCAGAAGACTTGCAACCATAGCAGTCCTCCAAGCTGCGCAGGAACCGAGCGACCTCATCAGCCAGTCAGGGTTCCGCGAGAGCAGACTTCTGAGTAGCCTCTCTTTCGATGCAGACAACCCTTGCGGCCCAACACTTTCCAGTTCTAACGGTCGTTGACCGTGAAAATCAAATGGCTCAACTGTATTTGGCTCATTCGAAACTTGAAACTTGTGGCTGGCGACTGATGTGTGATGGTAGAACTCCGCGTGGTCGGCCTTTGTGGCTGTGGGCTGTGGGTACAGGGCAAGAGGCCGACATCCAACCATGGAACCTCGACAGACTTTCAGGAGCCATGGCAAAACCCCACAGATGCTTCAGCACCGAAGTGTCTTGAGCCCAGGATGCTGCCCCCCGTCTGCGTGGAAGTTGCGAGCTGTCTTCCTCCAGCAGGGCGAGTCAAATCCACCCTCCACTCCAGGAGCCTTGAGGCGCAAAACGAAGAGCTCTTCTCAGCCAAACTCTCTCTCTCTCTCTCTATATATATATATTATAGCTACTGATACTGTAAGGCAACATCTCTCTCTCACAGACAGAACCTAGAGCGAGTTGTCTGGCAACATGCTTGGGAAACTGGGGCCATGATCCGACCAAGCGGCTTCTTCAGCACGGGGAGATGCCCTTTGCTAGCCGCATGGATGGCGGCACTCTCGTAGCCTGGCAATGCGCAGGTCTCCAAAGACAGAAAGGGCGCATCTGGAAGACTTGTTTTCTGGGAAGCAGAGTGCAGACAGCACATCCCGTGCAATAGCAGAGCTGAGACTCTGCCATCCTTTAGGCACGGCAACCACTCTTCAGTCTCAGGATCGGCTGCGAACAGTGACAGAAAGTGAAAAGCAAAGAGGAGACATCAAGTACCCGTACCCACACACACACACACACACACCCCGACAATCCTCACCAAACTCCGTGCCTTTCGCTGACTTTGGCGAAAAGCGGCGCAGGAGGGCTTCCAGCCTCTGCATGGTGGATCTGCCATCGCTTCTTAGAATCTTGCAGACTGAGACCTCTTGGCATCCTCAAAGGCAGAGAGGTTCCAGTGCCGATGCGAAAGCTTCGTGACCGGATCACAGCATGACATCATCCTACCAGGCTGCCACAGGAAGCTTCGTCCTCTCCCAAAGCGCCAAGATGCAGGGCAGGGTAGCCACCGTCTGCTGCAGAGCCGAACGGGGCCAGGCCCCGCCTTGCCAAAGACAAGGCCGCGCTGCATTGCAAAGAGTCAGGACGCCGCTAAGTGCAGCGCACCGCGTGCGAGATACAAACGTTAGATTAGTTGCGGTTTCGATCCGCTTCGCCCGTGCGTTGACACGTGCACGGGAAGCTCTGCCAAGATTACCGAAGGTGGTTGCTGAGTCCAATCGTTTATCTGCGATCCAGCTGGTCAGCGAAAGACTCCAAAGCTGCTTGGGTTCTTTGAAGATGGAAGGTCGCTTGGTTCACGAAAGCATCTTTTGCAAGAACGCCCAGCTAGAAGCGGCAAATGGAACTGGCTCCTAGTATTGATGCGGCAACCGACAGACCGTAAAGAGAAAAGGCCCTCAATAGTTGCATAATCCTAAATGATTGAGGGAAGCTCACGATCCTGTCAGCTGTGATTTGCAGCCTTGCTGTCACGGGGTAGACGGCACAGCCAACATGTCACAACCATGTTGGGGTTCAGGACTTAGTGCTACACATCACCACCAATCGCTTTTGTGGACCATATAAACCCAACTCCGAGCGACATCTACAGAGCTTTCCAAGCAAGCTGCTCGTCGAGCGTCTTTAAGGATGCACGCTTCTGGATCCTGGGACGTGCCAGTCTTGGAGAGGGACACGAATCAAGCATGCAGCAGCGGGGAACGCACGCTCGGTTCGGGCTCATCAGCTTCACGCTTGAACAGAAACGACCTGCTGCAACCTCGTGACAGCAGGTCGACCACTGGACCTGCATCATTGTAGGCAGCATGATGCAATGGCTGCTTGCGCGTCGCATCTCGCCTCCAGAAGGATCGAAGTCAAAGCCGAAGCAAGACACCAAGATCGGAAGCAGACATATGCAGACTACACGTTTTTACATATAACAACTAGAAGACTGGAGGGTCCTTGTTTCCAGACACTCATCCCACGCGGCAGAGTCTGTAGGTTGATGCCCGGGCCGAGCGGCGTGCGAACGTCGGCCCGGCGCTCCAGGAGAAGCTGCCTTCAGTTGCTCTTCGTGAAATCCTGAAGTCCTAAGCCTCGTAAGTCTCTTAAGGCTTAAGGCGCTTTCTCTGGGTCTGCCTGGGGCACCGGCGCAACCTCCAGCTGACCGTTCCTGAGAGCACTGCTTCTGTTGTCTTAAGCGACTACAGAGCCTTCCCGTGGCCTGGAAACCTAAGCGAACCCGTGAAAGCCACAAGAGGTTTGGGGTGCTGGGTGCTTGCCACGATGCTCAGCTGCACTGTGAAGCGGCGGCTTACCATCCTAGCGAAAAGACATTGCAGATTGAGGCAACCAATCTAAACGCAGGGCTGCAACACAGCACCTTCACTCTCGAGTTCTATGGCAGAGGAGGGGAAGCTGCTGTGCCAAGCCTCCAGAGGCGCTTGCAAATCTGCTCGCCTTAGCTGCTGAGCCGGCATATTTCTTGCGGCTGCCACGTACTTGGAGCCTTGGCCGATGTTCACAGCTGTCCGTGACTGTGACTATTGCTCTTGCGCAGAGTCCACTGCAACATGCCTTCAACGGACCGCCACACGACACTCCAACATCGAATACTGAGCCACACTGGACGACAGTGTACAGCTGCCACAGCCCCGATTCTTGCTTGGGGCAAGTGGCACATCAGCGAGGAGCGCCACCATAGACGTGTAGCCATACCTTTTGCATGACTGTACAGAACTGAAGTACTTGCTGGTGGTGCTCTGGAATGCTTCTGGGTTGTTCGTGGTTACATACCAAATGCCTCTCTCAAAACTCTCACAAGTCAGAGAATACTTCTTAAATGTGCAAGCGGCAGAACTGACATTTTACCTGACTCGCAACAATAGCTCCTAGTTATCCTAGATTCTAGCACTGGGTACTACTCGCTGATGATCTGTGTGCGTCCGGCGAAGGACGGCTCTCGTTTACAAAGGCTGGAACCCACATCATTTCGAGGGCGAGGGAAGGGTGTAGTGAACAGTACAAGGTGTAACTTTAACTCTCAAAGCCTTAGCAGTACCGCCGCAGGCCGAGAGGCTCGGTTGCATGGCTCAGCCCCTTGTGAAGCTGCGCAGGCGAAAGCTGCCGGTTCTGTGCCTAAGTTTTGACGCAGAACCAGTGTCATTTTACCAGGCCGATATCTGGCATTTCTTTACCAGCTCGCAATTCACAACCGGCAGCTGTTTCAAAACACCTGGAAAATTGCCGTGCGGATGTCAATCCTCAGAGCCGCAGCGATAGTCTGCCTCTGCCAGAGTGCCAAGAATTCCTTTGCGAGAGCAGTTTGTCCGCGATGCATCGCACGCTCCTGGACTGCACAATAAATTTCTCGTTTGGGCACAAGATGGAAGCTCAGGAAGCGCAAGTGTGTGGACGTCCAAATGGCGGTCTGTCCTATGCTACGACACCATACGTATGCAAGATATGTCCCTCTCACCGTGCAAGGGGACACTCCCCAACCGTCCCCAACACTCCTCCCCTGATGTCCCGCAAAGCCCGTGGGGAAATTGAAACCCTTCCTTCTACTTAATTGTAATGTCTTCTGCGTTGAACTTCCGCATGAAGCTGAGCCAGGCAGATAAATGATTTCTTGCACAAAAGGAACAATCATTGGTGATTGTTGCGATACACGGGGAACGTGGGCACGCCCATAGACTTGCAGCACAGTTTAAAAAAAAAAAACGGCAGATCATGCGCTGACCCCGCCCAGAAACAGGATGCCAGGTCGCCAACAGAACACCCAACCAGTTAAACGAATTTTTGGACAGAAGCAAAAGTCATTCAAGATTGCTGGGATACACCGGGAGAACTGCCTACCTGCCTACCTACTTCAAAGCACCAATACTACTAATGCCGGTACCAGATGGTACCAGTACCAGGGCTAAAGGCGCCAAGACTGCCTATTTTGCACATTCAAGATCACTGGCCATGATTATTTTGGCGTCAACAAAAACCATTGCTGAATCTTAGCATGCTTTGGATCCGAGGCCTTGCGGAATGCGGGTGCTGCTTTCAAAGTGCTAGCGCGATTTTGGGCTGGTAACTAATCTGCAGGGCATTTGCGGTGCGCAAACAAATCTGAACCTTTGCTTCGCACTCCCAGCTCACACTCCGTCGTCGCTGTACCAAGGATTACCAACACATTCGGGAAGCTGCATGAAAGCAGAGACTCAGCAGCTTGTGCATGCAAGCAACGAGGCGTGGAGCATACTGACATCTCATGAGCTCGCTGTCGTGATCTTCTCGAAACCCGTCGAAAGCCTAGCCCCTAGGTTGTCAAAAGCCTTGTTAAACGACATCATGTCTCACCATCGCCAGCTATGCTTGCAGGCAAGATCAAACTCTGATTCCGCAAATGGTAAAGCGGAATCATCTCACGCAGCTCACTCGCAACGGTGCCCACCTCTACGATGGAGCCAACGGAAGCGGTCCTTGCCGACTATGGAAATGACAATTAAATGGGGGCGTCTCTCCGGGCCCATCAGGAGCACGATCACAAGCTTCCATAGGCAGCAAAGGAGCCTCGTCTGCATCATGTTCTGGTGATTCTACGAGAGGGGCCCAAGCGTCGTCTCATCGAAAGCAGATGAAAGCCCGAAACACAAGCAGGCGTTCTGGGCTGCAACGGCCTCGCAAGACTGGCCACGCTCGCTGAGGAAATCCAACAACTCTTCCACACCTGCAGCGCCAAGTGAATGATTCGCGGGCTGCTTCAGGCCGAGCGATGCAGCTTCCTGCAACATGTGCACAATCCGCCTTGCTGTGTGCATGTACTCGTCGGAAGTGGCGACCACATGCCATCGGCCAACGAAATCACGCTGGTCACGCTCTATGCCCAGATCAGCCAAGATGGACACGAGCCATTTCCTGTCATAATGTTCGCTCCAGAAGCTAATTGCATCCACCGAGTCAAAACGAACACATCAGAGAAACACCTTACCTTATGCCCTCGATGTTGGCAGGGACACGGAGCAAGCGCCAAAGTGACTTGGTCAAGGTGAGTGACAGTATGGGGGTACTCAGCCATGACTCGCCGGGCCCCCGTCAACGACTCGTTGGTGCTTGCCTGTGCGATGTCTTTCTCGAGCCAGTCTGGCACCAGGAGGAATGCCAGTTTGTTACGAAGATCGGCAGAGACCGACCATGCTTGCGGGGGCCGCTCACCTTCGTCCAGTCCAGAGTCCCTTGCAGTCCGGAGGACTGCATCCGCAGCAGTGCAGGGTCGAGGCCTGTGAAATCGCTGCTGCCCCGCGCCGTCCATACGTAACTTGAGAAGCTCGTAGAAAACAAACCCATCAGAGTCTGCTTCTTGGGAGGAGCGCCGGTCTCCATCGTTAGCTGGTTCACCGTGTTCTTGATCGATGGTAGTTCAGAGAAACGATCGTCGGGCGGTATGCCACCCGCCTTTGCACGAAGGCCAGGCAATGCAAAATGGTTTGTGGCACTGTGCGCGCGCATGGCTCTAAATTAAATGCCGCTCTTGCAAGTAGTCAAGAATCACACCGACATCGCTGGGCCACGGGGACAAAGTCGCCGCAGGACAGTAGTCGCGGAGCCTCCGCCACTCAGGCACACGCTTTCGGATGGGCGAAGCTCTTGCCGAACCGACAGCAGCACCAAGGACCGTTTCAGGATCTCTTGCCAAAGCAGATAGCTCGCGCAACGGCAGGTTTGCTGCTTTGATGATCACGACAAGCTCGTTTCACCAGCGCACCAACTCTTGTTGTTCAATGTCCTTGCGCATGAGGCCATTGCCAGCCTTTTAGCCCGCTTCGTGTCTGAGATGGCACCAGACTTGCGTAGCCAAGACGCGGAAATTTCATGAGCACCCACAGGCTCGCAAAGGCGAAGCTTAAGCCGGGTCAGCATGCCTTGCGTTGGCACCCGAGCTCCAAGTTACGCTTGACAGTAGCTGTTCCAGGTCAGAAGCATCGTCGAACAAGTTGGCCAGCACATCACAAGACGGCTGTGCGCTATCTGCCTCGCCGAAAAACCGTGTGAATCGTGAAGGAAGCAAGCTCCACAGCACGGCGGTCATGTCAATCAAGAAAACGGGAAACTGTGCAAGACAACTGACGACGCGCTGGTTGCAACACAAAGCACCAGCCCACGCAACCTCTAACCAGACAACAGCTTGAGGTTGCACTGGCTTGAGCCAAAATGGCTACGGCTAAATCAAACTATGATACTCTGTGCAATCAAGTAGTTGTTAACTTTACCAAACTGAGGCAACAAAAGCTGCACTCACAGCTCACACTGGCGATGACGTGCAAGCCAAGACACTGACAGTCACCCTGACTTCTAGAACAACACTTTTCAGCAGGGCTCCAGGGCCGTCATCTTCGGGAGGCGTCCCTGTGCGCCAATGCCGAAAACGAAAGGATCCAGGTTGCAGGTGGCATGGAGCCTGCAGGGGAATCCAAGTGTTCTGATGAATCCTAGCCCCATGTCTGATAAGTCGGAGGCTCGTCTCTTTTCTACGCTGCTTGGCGCCAGCCTCGGCCCGAAGTAGATAACCTCGCCGGGCTGCTGCACGCAAAACCGAAGCCCAGCTGGGGGACTCTCCTCCCACGGATTCTCTTGACACGGAGTTTGCGCCCTAGCAGTACACTTCGGGAGAGTAGTAAAGTGTGCTGCCGTACGCTGAGGAAATTCAAGTCGTCTGCTCTCCTCGAGCCATTGGCAGGGGTGACGAGCGTTGGCATGCTCCTCGCCTGCCATCCAGCACCGGCTGAACTTTCAGGCACGCAGCTGCAATCACAATAGTGAATAGTGGGCCGCAAAGCATGCAGTGGCTTCTGACAGGGACTTCCGCCATTCTCTGGGCCAAGTGTCGGAGAATCTCCTCTGATGGTTCTTCAGGAGCGATCCACCACGCCTAGCGCTCCGCAAGAATCTCGAAGTGACGACCCTTGCACATGTGGAGGCCCTCCCCCCACAAACCGAATGCGGCCTTGCGTCCATGCAGGACGGCGAGCCAGGTCTCCTGGTGGCAGATCGCACGAGGTGCAACTAGCAAGAACTGCTGCTGCAGAAGCACCTGCTGTCCTACGCTAACGCGATAAGTTCTGCATTTATTGCTTCCAGATTTGCTTCCAACTCCTGGCTGGAGCTTGGTTCACCACACGATGAAATCCCAAGCATCCTGCTTTCGATCTGAAAACCCAGTCTGTGCCTCAGTTCAACTACAAAGCTCGGCCTCGTGTACGTGAAGCTGCGTGCCGGAAGCCTCCGACATCCCAATCTGCACCGTCGGCCTCAGGTCAAAATCTGCCTCAGCTCAAAGTCCCAGAAGACACAACTCAAGGGCGTGCGCCTTAGCAGCTTCCTTTTCAGAGTGCAGAAGTAGCCGAAGCCACCGTCCGTTCATGGACGAGTTGCCAGTATCTTTGGGCTGATCTCCTTGGCGGCGCTGCCGTTACAATGCCAACTGGCGACCGTGGACGGAGAGCACTCTCCCTGGCAATAGCTGGTCGGGCTTGTCGATACACGGTGTCACAGAGGTTGGAAGCGTGCTCCTGCAACTATGCTACCTAGCCTCGGGTACATTGGGCTCGCCCCTGAGTCACGCGGAAAAAACAACCCCCTCCTGCACAGCTTGCACAGGTCGTGGAACTTAAGCATGTGCTGAATGTTGAGGACATGTTCAGGCTTTGATGCGAGCGCATAAAAATTTATCACGAGCTGCCTGAGGAGCTGCAGTGCCTGGGACTGGCGTCTATGCTATTGCGCAGACAAAAACACGCAAGATCCCAAATTGTTTTTCCAATCAGAATCGCAATCCAATAAGACTGAAATGGAAGACACACTCGCAAGGCAGTCAGTAAAGGCCCCGCAAAATCGAGAATATTGAAAGGCTTGAATGTGTAGCAAAGTGATACCCCACAGAATTTCTTCCAGGCCTCTGGTCCCCAGAAAGCTTCCGAGACTAAGCGGTGGGAGTAGCCTGCGGGCGAACAAAGCCATGCCCTGACCTTGCTAACTGAGCTGCTGGGCATCGTGGCTTAGGGCCCGAGTTTGCGCTGGTTCTGCTTGAGGCCTTTGATCTGTGCAGAGGCATTTGGGTGTCGCGTTTGCCACAAGCGGATGGACACTGCAGGCTCTTTCACTTCATAACTCCCGACAGCTAGCTGCATTCGCATGTCACACATGATGCATCATGATGCGGTCCACGAAGATGCCAACTTTCGTGCCTTTTGCAACCAAGTTCTTCGCTGTCTGGTTCCTGAGTTGTCGGGCATCCAGCCTTTGCATCGATGCCACGAGTGCACAGCCAGGTGAAATTGACGGTCTTCACGTGTCGGTGAATGTCACTCGTCGCGGAATGACGAAGACAATGATTGTTGACAAGCGCAGCCATCGAAATCCCGTAATCCTCAAGTTGCCCGAGAAAGGAACGCAGTCTTTCTGCGCTGATACCTGGGCTTTTGCTGGTGCTGGCAAGGTTCGCAGACAGGAAGAAGTCCTGCGCGACCATGCCATGAAGCGTCGCAGTACTCGCATGGCACTACCATCTCCAGAGCGAGTGTTTACGATTTCTGATGTTTAGACAAAGTTTAGACGAAGCTTCTGATGGAGCCCGGAATTCCCCTCATCATGGCTAGTCCTCGAGCAGAACTTCTGGGGTGGCTTCTGGCCGATCCCATCGGCCCGTGCCTTCCGAAGGGCTCATGCAGACTCTCGAGTTTGCGTTTGCTAAGGGGTTGGCTTTTTCGAGCACGCCTCGGGGGAAGCATTGGTTCAGCACAGGTTCGTGCCCGTTGCCAGCTTTAGGAACACCGTCAGGCCAGCACACCGTGCCCGTCACTGCGGTGGCCCGTGGTGTGCTGCACATTGAAGTCAAAACGTGCTTGCATCGACTGGGCGCACTGTTTTGCTTGCTATGCTATACGCCGTGGCTTGCTTTTGGCTCTGGACTCAAGATCGGCATGGAAACGGGAGGCGACACATGATGCAGAAAACGCAGGCATCAACTCTTTGTTGCTTGCTTCGTGCGCACTTGCGGAAGCCACGAGGGCATACGATTCAAGACAACCCCGTGTGCATCCCCGGCGCTCCTTTTCGGAAGCTTTGCTGCATGCAGCTGGCAAGTTACTCATACGCAATCGTACGCCATGAGAAGGTTGCAGTAGGCACCGCAGATCTTCTGATTTCAGAGCACACGTGACTTTGCCCGGACTTCGCGACGTTGATGCAAGCACTGGCCTCTAGCGCCTTTGGAGGAGATTCGGCCATCCCGAGCAATGGGCCCACAAGGGCCCACAGGCAATGCAACCGTAAGATGTCGGCCCACGGTTCGAGTTGCAAGGGTTCTCAAGACTTTAAGTGCCGTGTTGCTGAGTTGCCATCTGCTTCGCAAGGGTCTGCTGTGCTAGGCCACTAGAGGCTGCACCAGACGAACTGCTTTAACTACGCCCACTTTGCTCGGCTTGCAGGCAGCTTTTCTCACAATCCAAAGTCCGGCTATGTCCCGCTTAATGTCGCTGCTGGCGTCCGCTTGTAGACTCCGATTTTTCTTAACGCCTTCCTGGCCATCTCGGCCGACAACTGCTTCATTCCGCTTCGGTGCTGCGGGTGTGGTAGCGTGGACAAAGAAATTGGCAAAACGACTGGGACTTGCGAATACCTGCAGTCTTTTCCCCGGTATGGCACTCATGAAAGTGCTCTAGGGTCTGCCAGCGCAACACTCCTGCCTGTCTGTATGAAGTACTGTCCTGCCGAAAGCCAGCACAAGGTCTAGACATATCACCTGGAATACGTTGCAAGCTGAGCTGGCAGTCCGAAACGTTCGAGAATTCGATCTTTGGACCAGCTCGCCGATGTGAGCCAAGGCTCTGTCCTGGGAGCGTTGAGCGCGTCAGTTTGCAGCATTGAATCATAATGCAAGCACCACGGCCGCTCCAGTCAATTGTCGGGCATGCTTTGCGATTTATGTGATCCTGTGGGATCCGCAAGTCTCTAGCCCAGGTCTGCATCGTTGGAGCTGGGGCCTGCGCTGACAATCCCTGCAATGCAGCCGGGAAACAAGCCTCTCAAAACCAAGCCGCCCTCACTCTTGGCGGCAAGCTTTCGGAATGCCTTCCGGCCTGCCAACACTCTTAAGAATCAAGAAGGTGCACATTGGCTGGACACCTTGCTCGATAAAGCAATGGATGAGACAGGAAAGAGCGTTCCAATGTTGCTCTTCGGTTCAGGGCCACTCCTGATCAGATCCCGAGAACTCTGAAGAGAGCGATTCCCTTTCTGAAGCCTGAGTCTCGGGCTTAGATTCCTTGCGTCGACCGCCGCGAACTCGCAGGAAGAAGCCCCATGCTGAAGGAAGCGCCGGACCGCTTCCACCGGCCGCAAGTAGTCCTGCAGTCAAGCTCCCCACAGCAATGAGAAGGTTTCTCAGTCCGCCGTCTCGGGACTCTCAACGCCCACAACTCCACGAATGGCATAGAATGTGCTGTGGGTCTTAGATCGCTTTGCCAAGTCCTCATCGTCGATTCGTGGAGGAGGCTGCGGCCATGCTGGCTGCAATAACGCTGCGGCCAGCCATGCCGACAAGGCCATTCAGCTCGGCACACCGCTGCTTGTCGACTGATTGTGGCAGTTGTGAAGACGTAAACTGGAGAATGGGTAGTTGGTTGGTTCTCCCTTGCTACCAGTACAAGGTAAGCAGGTGGCAGTAAATGTTCATACGATATGATATACGATGAGGTGTCAGCCTCAATTGTTCAGAAAGCTTGTGAGACCCAAGACAGCTTGAAGCCCCTCACTTCCGCTTCCCTGTGCCTGCGTCTCCTTGCGAGCATTGCCCTCCGACAAGCTCTCCTGACACAGACCACAGGGGCTTGGCTTGGGCGACAGGCTTTTTGACTTAGGTTGTTCTTGCTATGACAGCTCTTCTCAGGTTCTCGGGTAGGTGGCTGCCCCTCGTCAAAAAGCCTTGCCACATCCCTCTCGCCCGCACTCTCGCCCGTGGCCTTCAGCCTCTCACTGCCAGCCTTGGGTAGGACAGGAAGGCAGAGAGCAACGTACGGCAAACGCTTCGATCATGCAATGGCAACATATGGAAGGGAAATTCAAAAGAAGAGCCATCTGGATAGTTAGCTTGTTGATCCTTGGTCCTGTCCGTGCTTGGGTGGTCCCCCTAAGGGCAGACCCCACCAAGACATCTTGTCAGCACTGGGCTCGCGACTAGATCCACGAAAGTGATCTTGCCTGGGTGACAGTATGTGCGAGCAAGCAGGCAGGCAGGCAGGCTGGCAAGCAGCAAGTCGCTTGGAAAACCTCGTTCATGCGGAATTCCATATTCAAATGCTGGACCTGTTTCTCTCGCCGCCTTAGCTAGCTGCCGCATGTCTTCGCTATCGTCGGTGCTGCATCAGCAGCTGCATCTGCCTGCAGGCGTGCAATATTGGCTGCGTGTTACTCGCCCGGGGTCTCCCTCGTGGCAGCTGAAAGTCGTCTAACTATGCGGCACAACTTGAAGAGTTCCGCCTTGACCAGAGCCCATGTAGAGATCGGTGTACTGCAGATCCAGTGCAAATGGCCAACATCCGAATTGCCTCTTTTCTGCAGAGCGACCATATGGAGTGAGAAAAGTTGTTGGAAGATCAGCGTCCACCAGCCCCCTTTGAGGTCCGCATGCTGACATCTAATCACCAGCTGCCAGGGGCAGCGCACAAGTCCTAAACGCAGCTGGAGGTCCCCTCTCGCTGCTACTACGCCCATCTGTGATCAACCCAAGTGCGTGTCGTTCCCTTGCTTTCCCTCCTTAATGAGATACAGCTGATCAAGAACCACACGCTGTAGGGTCCCACAAAAGGGGATCTGAAAGCCGCATGCTGCAAGAGCTTGCGAATTGATGGCAATGTTGCGACAAACACCGTGGTGCGATGGCAGCGGACTGCTGCACGAGCCCATGATGCTGCACCCAGAGAGTCAGTTCTGGACGGAAAACCGCTAGTTGCGCCGTCAAATAAACTTGTTAGGCTTCGTCGCCGATAGTGTTCGGCGGGCGCTCTTGCATGCCTGGTGCATCGTAGCGCTCTCTGAGTGCGTCAAGTGAATCAAACGGCTGGATGTTTCTGGCACCGGAGGATGTACAACTGATGTATGCAACCGGAGAAGCGAGCACGGTACCGTGCAAGGAAACACGCATGTTGCGGTCAGGTTGCTCCCGTCTGATCATCACTTACAGGCTTCTGGCGGATCGTGAAGGGGAAGACATGCCTGCATGCATTCATACATACATATATCATATATTTGATATTATGCATATATACATATACACAGATTGGACCATGTGTTTTTGCATGTATTGACAATATATGCTCACGAACCCCCGGCATTATCCACCCAAGCCTGCTGTTAGAATTCCTGATGCCTGACATTCGAGAACGTCGGCAAGAATCAACAATCCCCAAATTCTCCAAATCTGAGCAACTAGGGCTCTGCAATCCTTATGGATGCGAGGATTGCAGCAGTTTTGTGGATTTCTGATGCCTGCCGAGGTTGTCGCATTTCCTTGTTTGGAAACGTTGAGGAGGTGTACATAAAGCCTGGCGGCATTTTCCCAACCTCGGGTGCGGAAACACCGACAGGGATGAAGATGCCAAAACTCTGAGCAACCACGCGAGCAACTATGGCCCCACAACCCTCACATTTCAGACTTTGGACCATTTTGTGCCAGGCGGCATTAGGGCAACCCCGAACGCGAAAACATCGGCAGGGATCAAACATGCATTAAATTCTGCGCCCTCCCAAAACTGAACACCGATGGCCCCCGTAGTTGCGAGGATTAAGGTCTTTTCGGCATTTTTGATCCGCGCAACAGGTTTTCACATTTCAGGTTTTAGGAATGTCGAGATTTTCAGCCTGGCGGCATTTTTGCGAGGTGGACCAAGATGAACAGTAAGTAGTCAGAATAATGAAAACAATCATGACAACAATTACGACACTGGTAACGATAGTAGTGTTAGCTGTGGGGTTACCATCAGTAGTTTTTTGTCCTCGTTTTATAACCCGACCAAGTCCTAACAAAAAACATGTCGTTGCATGTGGCTGTTCTATCGAGGCCATCGGGTTCCCAACTCTTCATTGAGACCATTCTTGCTAAATGGGGCTATTGTCACAACAGATAGGGAGGCTTCCTTACTAAATGAATAAGAGATACAAGCGCGGTGCTATTGCGATAATTAGTTTCACATGTGTACACTTATGGTCAAGTTCTACACTTCCAGATGTTCTCTTCATCGACAAGCATCATATTTTTACGTAAGATAAACTGTGCTCAGGATGGACCGGCATTCTTTCGAAGCAACCCAAACCTTTAAAACATTACAGGCGTTTCCACCTTGGTTGACTATGAAGCTCAGCGGGGAGGACAGGAGCTATGTCATTGTCACGTCAAACGATGGTAGCCGTTCTCTAATTTCTTGCTGTGCAAGGGGAGTCTGGTTATGTTGCTTCCATGAGTTCTTCTGGTTCTAAGAGAAGAACAGAACAGCGAATCTTCTTTCGATATGAAATTGTCCGAACTAACTAGCGCCCACAAATTATAAACGGACATAAAAGGCGCTAACGTCTCCCCAGACTTTTGGAATTGTTGGAATTGCAAAATTCCAAAACATCTCACCAGATTTCTTGGAATTCGTGCAACGTTCAGGATTTTGGAATTCGTGAAATTCCAAACTTCCAAGACATCTATCTCACCAGAATCTTCTGATTTCTTGAGGAGATTTTGGCATTGTCGGAACTCTTGAAATGCTTGGAATTTCCGGACGTTGGGATTGGTTGTGGCATCATCGGTGAAATAATGCGCATGCTTGACATGGACTTCGTTATTAGCAAAGGAAGCTGGAAACCTTCGTAGAAGCTGGGTACTCCAGGTCAGAGGTTGGTCTTCGGTCTATCTCTCTATCTGTCTATCTATCTATCTGTATGTATGTATGTACGTATGTATGTGTATATATGTATATAGGTTCTAGTTCTCTCTCTTTCTCTCGCTCTCTCCCTCTCTATCTCTCTCTCTCTCTCTCTCTTTCTCTTTCTTTCTTTCGCCAGGGCTGCAGACGGGAGTTGCCCCCCGCCCGCCCGCCCGCGCGCTCTCTCTCTCTCTCTCTCTCTCTCTCTCTCTCTCTATATATATATGATATATGTATGTATACTTCCTTGCTTGCTTGCTTGCTTGCTTACTTGCTTACGTATGCATTTATCAATGTATTATTTGTTTGTCTATAGGGAGATACACAGATAGACATATGTGGGCATAGAGGCATACCGGCATAGGGGTATGTAGGTACATAGGTATGCAAGTATATCGATACAGAGAGATATATTGACATGCATACATCAATACATACATCAATACATACATACATACATACATACATACATGTATATATATACATATACATACATACATGCATCAACTATATCTTCATATACATATAAGCAAACACACTGTATATATAAGGCGTGGCATCTGAAGGCCAGCAGACGAACCATGCCGGACAGGACTATGTATCAGGGGGCGATCCAGCTTGATACGCGGCACATGACTCTACACTGGGCATGCCGCTTGCAAAGGCCAGCATTCCTTGCACGGTTCGGTCCGCCGCTTCTCAAACGTGTTGCAGAAAAAACACAGATGAAATGCATCGCGCGAGACGGCCACAAACCGTCAAAACAACTCGGTGGGCGAGGCAAAAACCGCAACTGATGACAGAAAAAGAAGAGCCGCAACTCGGAAAGGCAAAGGTCTAGCCAGGATTCGATGTTTCCACACAGAGCCTGTCTTAGCTGCGTTCTGGGACTACTAAGCTTAGGCAGCTCCTCGAAAATCTAAGAAAAACCTCATGTCGCCGGAGGCTTCATGGAGAGCGTCAACGGATCAGGACGAAATTCATACGCTGAGTTTTCGCCAGCGGAATGAGCAGAGCTGTCTAGTGTCTCACTGATGCGTTGCTATTGTTCCTGCGTCCCCTCTTCCAGGCCGTCCAAACTATGACCGGCGACATGGACTGATCTGCGGTCGAACCATGCTCCCGTAGGTGAATCGCCGGCAGTGTCAGTCGACATTTCCAGCACTTGGCGGACGCTGTACACCCTGCCCTGGCAGCTCAGTAGATCTTCCATTGCCTGTCAGCAGGCACACTAAAATTCAGAAACGCTTGGCTGTACAGACTTGTCTGCTTCATGGCTTCCTTCCAGCATATCCAGCATGTCGGGAACGAAGCCATGGAGGATGCTTGAGCAAACACTGAAAGCTTTCTGTTAAAGGGGCGAGGGTATGCTGACAAGACATGGCTGGGACAGGAAGAGCGGCAGAAGTGCCTCACGAACTGGGCGAGCGTGGGGTTTGGCGAGTTGCAAAGCTGTGCGGCCGCCTGGGCTGTCTGCTGCAAGGATCTTCAGCCGACGCTACTTACATACAGGGTGTCATCCGAATCCAGCTCTTTCCAGGCATCCATACAACAGGTGATTGTACGAGATTGTACGAGGCGTGGCTGATGTACTGGGGTATAGCTGAGCTCGCGCTTCTGTGACACATGCAGCTTCCGTCAGGCATTCTGCATGCACTGCGCACCGCATGCTGCAAGGTCGACCTCCTGCAAGCCAGTACGGGCTGCAGCATGCCTCGGAAGTCTCGACCCTCTACATAGAAGTGGCGAGCTTCGCGACGTACGCTGCGTGGGATCTGCCCCTGAAGCCAGCAGCAGCTTGACCATCTCTACCTGTCTACGCCGATCTGCAAGGTCGGAACTTGGCTTCCTCCGAACCACTGAAGATGTACCCACTCCCCGAAGTACTGCAATGTCGGCAATTCTAGATGTTCATTGGTTGCATTCGTAACGTGAGATCAAGCCCGTGGTCTTGCAACTTGTTCGGACATCTGCTTTGTCTTCTCCTGAAAGTAGCACTGGACTGCGAAGCTCCGGAGACCTAACACTGCTCAAGGAGCCTCGCCCTTGAGGACCGCGAGGTGTAAAGGACAGAAGCGTTCCCGGAAGGGCATACAGCCTGCCCGGCCAAAAACAAGCACTCAATGAAAGAAAGGAGAAATCTCTTCGAGCCACGGCTTTGGCCTCCGGCTCCGTCCTTCGCTCGCCTGTCTTCCAGGCCACTGTAGTCATTGTTCTGCCTTGGCGTTTTTCGATCACACGGGTTTTGAAAAACCTAAAGAGATGTTCCATACCACCTCCGCTGGCTTCGGGCGCATCAAGGCCATTTTTCAACAAGCGGACAACACCCTCCACCCCTCTCCCCCACCACTCCTCCCACCTCCCCTCCACCCCCCCACCAAAGGGGTGAAGCAGTGGGGAAACAATTTCCGCGGGTCTCGCTGCCCTCCACCTGCTTCAAAACTTCACCGTGTTGGTAGTTCTCTACATGAGGGTCCCTATTCAGGTCCCAACATAATACGGCACTCTGACAACAAGGACCCTAAAAGGGACCTTAATTTAGACAGCCACCTATAGCCATGATGCAAGAATTGCTCGACCTTGGCCACCTGCCGCTCGCGTGAACGCAGACGCCTAAGCTTCCCGTTCCGTGGGTGGCCGATCACCGCTGCATCCTCTTTCTCCGCCACGGGGGAGATGGGTGTTTGACTCACATCGAGGTCGCTGTAGCTGGCACAGGTTCCCGTACGGCCTGCTCCTGAGAGCTGGAGCTGTATCTCCCCTGGAAGGATCGCTGCCATCTCTGCAGGCTTCAGTGCCATGGCACCTTGTAGAGGCTGTGCTGGCCGCACTGGCCATGTATGGAAAAAAAGCTACACGGACCTTGAGCAGTGAAGGGCCAACATGCATACTATACCCGCATGTCTGCCACAGCTTTGCCCTGTGAGCAGGGACTACTAGCTAACTCTGTTGCATCTCGCGTGACCAGTCTTTGCTCTTGTGCAGAGGGCACACCTTGTCCTTCGAGACGATGCCCCGCACCCCTGAACCCGCACTCTGCTTTCCTTGAACCCACACCCTGCACACGAGATTGCAGGAGGCCCACTGTCCGGTACAAGGGCGCCTGCTCGGAGTCGATATGCAGGGTGAACCTGACAGGGACACCACAGGACACTCCGTAGCAGCGCCGTCTCCCAGTGATTGCATTCCTGATCTGGTGCGGCTCACAGGCTGAAGGAGCCAAGTGCAGAGATAAGAATGGACCTTCCACCGAGCCCTGGGAGTTCACTCTGAGCTCAGTCTGGGCTCCAAGCAGCGCGTGGGTCCGCGATGATTCTCGATTCAGCGCATGTGCGTTGACGCGACGATTCTGCAAGCCAGCCTGGAGCTTTGCTCCTCTGTGGTGACTCCTACGTCTCTGAGCTTGCCGGACGGAGCCAGGCAACGAATCCACGAAGGCTACATTGCAGGGCTCAACGCTTCGCGACTCTCACAGTACAGCTGGGGCCTGCTTGCATCCGACAAGAGAGGGCAGGGCTGGGGCCGAAAAGTAGTTGACTATTGTTCCTACACACGCGGCTGCGTGTGGCTAACTGAGGGAACCATCTTCCCTTGCCCAAGTCCGAGGAATAGAAGCATGGTTGTCCAAGCACATGGCACGGCCCAAGAGATTTTGGTGGGCTGCATGTGCAAGTGGGAAGGAACTTGAAGATACCCTCCAGCAGCGACAGTGCCTCCAACACGGCTCGAACGTCTGCCAGAGTGCGGCACTCAGCCACCTCAACCATAAGACAGGTCAGAGAGATCAAGAGCAATCAGTGAGAGAAAGGAGTCGGGATGAGCCACGAGCCGCTAATGAAGTCCGGCGAAAACTCAAAACGATCGGAGCAAGGACTGACGTGCTCTTCGCTGCTTCAGTGCATGCAACAAGCTTCGCGTGAAGCCGGGGCTGCGCTTGGTCGCGCAGAAAAGCAGCCGAGGTAAGAGCGGCCAAATCGCTGATGAAGAAGCCATGTTTCTGGCTGAAGCGCACCTGCGTAACCACAGGAGATGGGTGGAGACAGATCTTCCCTGAAACAAGATGACCAGCTGGCCTGCAGATGCCCGGCATCTGGATTCAGCAGGTCACAGATGCACCTTGAAAGCTTGGGAGGCTCTACGACATGCGAGCCTCCAAGAGAACTCTAGGACTCTAAGTGCCTGGCTCGTTGACAGCGCCAGGTGCATTGAAAATCTCTGCAAAGGAGGCTCCAACCTTGTGGCTCCAGCTCCCAGCGAAAATCGCCGAGGCCCAGAAGCTTCAAGCAGAGACTTGAGGCAAACGCCGTGATTCTGGAGCCTCCGGTGCTTTCACCTCTCGGAGACTGGAGTGACTTGAGACGTCTTGAGAATCAGCCATCTGGCAATCTGCACTCCGACTCGGTGTTGCAAAACTACCCGCATTCTAAACCGGATTTCCTTGCTGCAACGTCATGCGGGCTGCCTATTTGCCGGAAGAGTCGACGAGCTGCTCGTATGACCAGGCCATCGTTCCGCTTGACCTCTCGGCACAACACAGTCCCCCAGTCGGCGAGGACATCGCAACAAGTGCCTGCGCATTGCTACCCACTCTTGCCTCGTCCCCACAGTCCGATGTACGGTCGCCGGTGCTCGACCGCCCCATCTGACGCAAACGCACGAGACGGGTCAGTGTGCAACAGCCTGGAGCTCTTGAATCCGAACGCTTTGGGCTTCAGACTTTAAAACTTGAAGCCGTGGATTGTGGAAAACACTACACTTGCTATTATGCTATTCGTGACGTGCTCACACACTCAAGATGGGGATGGGGAGACATGGAAGGATGCACGCATAACTGGCAGGCGGGGCCATAGTGTACGTCTTGCCACTGCCGGTTTGGCCATAGGCCAGGACGGTGGCCTGACCCAATGCTGCAACAATGCGCGCTTCTCGCCCGGAGCTGCGTGACATGGCTGCACATCATTGGGTTTAGGGCTTAGGTCTTTTTTTTCAGGGTTTCCTGTAATAGATTCGAAGCAAGACCGGTCAAGAAGTGTAAGGCAGCGGCAGCATATCCAGCAACTGCTGCGTCGAGCAGGCAGGTCACACCGCTTTCTTGGAAAACCTGGCAGGGGAGTGTGGCAGCTGGGAGGAATAAGAAGCGAAAACGTGGCTTTCTACAGTACAGTAGCTTGACTCCATATATCGCCAATACTTCGTCTGTTTGGTTGGGAAAGCGTTAGAACCAGATGCGACCTCGCTGGCAGAGGTCGTAATCTCCAAAGCAATGCCTCTTCTGAGGCCGGGCCCTGCCTGTTTCTGCGATCGATCTTCGGGAAGACACGCGTCGAAGGAATACTTTCGAAACTGGTTCGCCGCACCCACCCTGAGCAGGTATGTGGTATGTGAGTTCACAACTTAATCATGTCGCTCTGAAAAAGATGTACAGTATGTAGCAGCGACTAACAGCGCGCAGAATTGTCTTGCCCGTCCCTGGCGGCCAAGTCTGTAAAGTCCTGTCCTTCGATTAGCAGAGAGTCCTTCGCTGGCCCCTCCCCGCTCCCGCCTTACCAGGATCGACCGGTCACCGGAGGCCTACAAAACTGTGAAAGGATCCGGTTGTGCTTTAAGGCACCGGTTGGGGATGGGACGCTGGAGGCCTCGCCTGCAGCCTTGAACATGCAGGTTCGGACGTGGCAGGCAGGGGCTCTTGTCACGGATTCATAAATGGGTGGAAAGGGCTTGCTCAGCCCGCGTGCCACCGCTCACAGCTCTTCAATCACAAGGCTGACATCACAAGGAAGCGCCTGGCAGCAATTCTCGTGCCCGGCTTCAAGCTCTTGCCTGGCAGAATCTGAAAATGGGCAATTGACGAAGGAAGACCGGACCTTCTCTCTGCACTTTGGCATCGACTTGACTCAATCTCGCCGGCATGTCTGTAGAAGCGGGCGGACGCGCACCACAGCTCTGACTGAAGAGGACCTTCTGCTTTTCAAGGCCAACAAACACGAAGGTCCCTCAGATGCCCTCAGGCTACGTGAAAACACTAACGGCACGAAAGCGCCATGCATTGTTCTTACCAGGCACCCACCTAGTTCGCCCCGCTGCAACGAGATGTGCAAATCCCCGTGATTCGATCCGCGGAAAAGAGCCAAAGAGTCGTGGATGAATACGATCCCTCACCACGACTGCATCATCTGCACTTGATGCCTTCTTCTTCATCTGCCACTGCGACACAACACCTCTGTAAGAACATATTATAAGAACCATATATCGTACAAAACACACAACCTCCTCACCAATCAATCCTAGTTTGGCATCATGTTTGGAGGTACCCATCCTCCTAATGTACATGGGGGGTTGTGACATGTACTGGCTTGAGTTGACCATGATCGCGTACCCATGCTTAAGATCCAGACGAAATTCTCGTGCAGGCCCGCAGCAGAACCAGCCAGGTCTACAGAATTGGTTTACGACTTGCCTGTGAAAGGCAAACGAGATTCAAAATCGAGTCCGAATCTAAGATGCTGTCGGAGCTGCGCATCCCGCGGCATGCATGCCCAGCCAGCGGTGAGGGCGGGATCTCATGGAGAATCAAGCTACCCTCAAAGACATCAGATTCGGATTCATGGCTGTGCCTTTTGCTCAGGTTGCGCGAAGGAGGGATTTGAGGCAAAAAGCTAACTTGTGGGGTAGGGTGTTAAAGGTAAGGGTTTAGTATGGTACAGGCTGAAGCTGCAGGTCTTTGCACTCGGTGAAATCAAGTCGAAAGTCATCGAAACTCCGAGGCGCCCGTTTGCCTGGTTTGCCTGCGCTTGGGAATGCCTAGGCCTATCTCTGAGGTGCACTACTTGCTCCCGTTGTTCTCATGCGAACACAGCTGCAGGTTTGGAGCCGAAGACCACATTAGCTGTCCAGCTTCCGGACTGCACTGTCTCCGGCCAGCTTCAAAGTATGGCTAACTATAGCAACTGGAGGCGAAGATTCGCCGGCTCATTCAGGCGTTGAACAGACGCGGAACCGATGGCGCTTTTCAAGGATCAAGGAGAAGCCGGGCCGAGCGATGCTCGAGACTGGGAATGTCAGATGCTGAGCTTGGCTTGCTGGCTACCTCGATGGCTTGAAAGTTCGAGAGTTCTAGAATGACAGTGACTTGGTCTCGATTCTACAGATTGGTCTGGAAGGGTTGCGATGTCAGCGTGCACTTTGCGCTTTCCTGAGCTGCCCGTCAACAAACTCCTCGTAGAATGGAGCCTGCTCCTGTCCAGGGGCACGCAGAAGGCTAGAACTCGAAGACGTGAGTTGAACCACATGCTGCCATGGCATCTGAGTGAAACATCGGCTGCGCATAGGTGTAGGCAGCTCGGCAACCCTTGATCGATGCCTTCGCGGCTACCCTGTTCTCCTCCTTAGCGCAACGGTGAGTCAGAAAGCGACTCCTGGACCGGCAAACTTCATTGACTAAGCAGAGCTGGTAATGACTTCTCTCTACCCGCTGCTATCTCTTCTCTTCAATCTTGTTTGTGCTTTCTTGTACTTTAAAATCCATCAAAGGCTAGTCCGAGGCCCTCGGCGCGGTACATGTCGAGGTACTTGTGGGCCTGCTCCGGAGTGTACCTCTCGAGACTTGCAAATGCACGGGCTCATCTTGAAAGAGCTTGCTGAGCGGCGATCGGTTTCTTTACGGTAATAGGTCCTTCACCTTGACTACAGTGCATGCGTCATAAGAAGTCGTAAGTATACCTGCACGCACCAAACTGTCCCTCATCCACGTCCAGACATCGTTAACCCAAACTGGTGCAACGACCTGGACAAGACGGGAAAAGGCTTGCTCGGGAGCACGGGAACTGTGGGCCTGTTAGGCCTTCGAAGGAAAACTTCTCGCAGTAGTGGTCCCAGTCCTGGATCTCACATGCTCTCACCCAAGCCTCTAGGCATCCCTTCACTGACCTCCGTACTCACCTCAGCAAGACGCTCAGTACCTCTGTGGCGCTTCCGCAGACTGGTGAAGTTGACAGACTAGCTCTGAGGTACAGCAACATCTTCGTGGCTGTGAGCATTCATTACACTCGTGCCGAATCGCTCCGTGATCCACAGAGTTGGAAACAAGAAAATTAAGACTTGGAGCCATAGTCTAAGCCAAACGCAGGAAAACTTTCTGGAATCGCTGCCAGTCCCCCAACCGATTTTTTACACCGGAGCTTTCATGTACCCTCCAAAGTCTGCACGATCAACGATCAAGCTTCCCGGTGTTTCCGTTTTCGATTGCAGTACCGAAGAGACGGCAAGCATGTTCGCGGCCTCCTTGCAGTATTGGATGAACCTCACGGAAGGCTGCCGCTCAGTTTGTCTGTAGCTTCCACCCCACACTGCTGGATACACCGGCGCTTGGCTTCCCCTTTCGCTTCTATCGCTGTCGAGTGACGAGTTTGAATGTCTGGTACGGGCTTCTAGGTAGTTTCGCACAGCCTGTCAGTAGAAGCAACCAGTCTCTAAATGCTAAACCCTAAAGCCTTCGACACAGGTTGATGCAAGCCGGGGAGACTGCTTGTCGACAGGATGTAGCGTCCACATGCGCTCAACCTTGATCTGCGAGTGGATGGCACCTAAGAGGGCGACGGCTGGCCAAATGCCTTCGGTTACTCATTGCTCTGCAGATGGGCGAACATCGGCACCTACATATGCCCTTCTCTACTGTAACCAGGCACGCATCACAGAAACTTGCCTGTGAGTTTAAGGAACAGAACACCACTGAAATCTCTAAATCTGGTGCGTGAGCGGTTCTCTGTGCTCTCGGGATCCAGACCTCTCTCCATCAAGAAAGGGATGATGGATCCAACAAACACTCCAGTCTGCGTTCCATGCCTCCAGCTTACAACGGATCTTTAGAGCGCTGCAGCTTCGATTCCACTTTCGCTCAATGTGCAAGTGCTTTGCCACCCTTGGCCTCGACTGTCAAAGCGTGCCGTGATGGTCCTGCTCAGCTACAGTCAGTTCGACCCGGCCTTGCGTCGACCACCTGGCTGCCATCTAATGTTGCGGACATGGGTATGGAACCTCTGAATGCTGGACGAGGCATGCAGTTAACACACCGCCAAAGACGTGAAGGTACTGACTGCATCGTCAAAGATGCCGCATCTGGACAAACAGAACCCGATGGCGCACGTAAGCGGGTCTGTAGGTTCCCTCGTCAGTCTCGTCAGCTTTGTGACGAGGCCTGCAGGATGGAGCTGTCACAAGTTTGCACTGCTCTAGACAGCTCTTCCTGGCTCTTGCACGCTCTTGCCGCTGAGCCCATGGCAGCATCCCAGTCGGAAGGACCTTGTCGGCGAAGTCCTGGTGCTTTGCAGACGCCAGTTCTGTAGCACTCGGCTTGCTCAGGTGAAGCAACTCTTGACTGTCCTTGGGGAAGTGCATGAAGTGCATACCCATCTCGGCCCTGGGCATCAGCCGAAAGCTCGAGTCTACGATCTTCGGCTCTGAGAGCTTCCTTCCGTTGGCGAGCCAACAGCGATCATGGAGCTTTGGCAAACAAACTCATCCGATCGACGCGAAACTGAACTCCTGCTAGTCTCATCTACTATCATATACTATCAGCAATGACGTTTTTAAGTTCCGGACCTGCAGGTGGAACTTACTCTGCGGTGGCCACTGACGCTGCCCAGGTGTACGTACTGCAACCCCCCTCCCATCATACCGAATAGTTTCGGCAGTGTGGAAATACGCTGCGGCTCTGAATTTCAGGGTGCAGGGATTAGATCGCTGCCCTCGCAGAAAACTCAAATCCTGCTGCCGCCTAGCAGCCAGGAAATCGCGCCAGGGGAGAAGCTGGTGCCTTCACGAACCCTAAGTCCCTCGATGCAATCACAACCGCTTCGACATGGGGAAATCGCCCCACCTTCAGAGTCTTCAAAGCTTCGGGTACTCATGCCTTTCAAAAGTTTAGAACCAGATGTTGGCCTCCGAAGTTCGTCGCCATGACCTGATTGCTCCAAGGCAAGCGACTGGCTGGACGGAGCGGGAAACCTTGCTGGTTTAGCGTGACATTCTGAATACACTACACTGTAATGCATTCTGTGGTGTCGTGTAGCTTGTCGATTCCGAAATTCTCTCAAGAGCTCCATGTAAAGAATGAATCTGCGCTTAGCCCAGGTTCCCTGCACTGACAGGCTCAGCCACGAGATATCTCCGCGGATCCTCGTTGACCTCCAGCTGCATACCGCAACATCTCAATGCGACGTGCAGCCAGGTTCTGAGGATACATGTATGCAACAGTACGTACTTGTCCGGTCACGCTCGTCAGAAGAACGACCACTTAGAGCCTCAGCAGCAGCAGCAGCAGCAGTTCAGTAGCAGTGATGGTAGTGGTGCGCCAGTGCCAGAAGTAGTAGAAACTGTAGTAGCAGCAGCTGCAGTTTCTGCAGCTGCAGCAGAATATTGAAACTGAAACGTCCATCCCGGCATGCTGCTTTCCTGTTCTGGTTGCGTGGGCTGCCGCAGAGCAAACTATCGTTTTTTTGAACGCTTCTGATCGTTTTGGCTGCCTCAGTGTTTGGGGCAGGGCCTCAAAATCCTGCAAATGAAAATGCTTTCCTGGCGGTGTCTTCAAAACACAACCACATAGAAGGGGCGACACCACACGATCATTCCCGCATGGCGCGCCGACTAGCAGGCCTGCTTTACATCGTTCCCCTCGCTGAGCATGGGCCGAGCACACGACCCAGAACCCGACCATCTCCTTGATCTTCATGACCCTGGAAAGAGGATGCAAGGCTCCATGAACTGATGGAGCGGTGCTAATCAACTCCTGTGAAGGATGTGAGCACGCAGTGCGCATGTCCAAGGGCGACCGCTGGGTCGACCGGCCGATCATTCGACGGATCGCCCACGAAACCGAGGAGCTTAAGGATGCACTGCACATCTATCCTGGCAAGAGAGATGCAGCGTTCAGCCAACTCCGTCGCAAAGACCGCATAAGCTGGCCAGCATCACTTGCGACCGGACCCGCCTGAGCGCAAAACGGCGGATGAGAACAGCTGCGCTTGCATGAAAGATGCCCAGTGTAGTAGCTAATGCGGGCTTCCGGGGTTCGTAATAAGGTGCGCGGGAAACATGAAAGTGAGCTTGCATGTCGAATAATTAATACATTCATTTGGCTCTCGTTGCTCCTCCGACTTTTGCGACAAGTTTCCACTGACCCCCCAGATCCTCAAGACAGTGTTCGCATGGCACATCGCCATCCAGCAGCATGCTCTAGCAATCCCAGTTCCGTGACATTCACCAAGACCCGGACAATGCAGTGCGTGGTGGCTTAGCCGTTTGATCCCCATGGGGTCCTCGATCCATGGCAACTTCAGCAACTTTCGACGGAACCGTCGTGGGCGCGTGGGGGCAGCCGCTTCGAGCCGCTGCGAGCCTCGATCACCTCGAGCTTTCCCCAGGAGAGGGCGCAAAAGTAGACGTCACCGATGCCGAAGCGGGCCTGCAAAAGTTGCATTCCATTTTCGCGCAGCCGCTCCGGCACCCCTGGAATGTCCGTTCTACCAATTATGAACCAGCCTTCTGCTGGATGTAGCAGTTGGATCGGTTCGCATTTCCTGCTGACTGAGGCATCTCGACACCAAGAAAAGCACTTAAACTCATTCGTCTCTAGCCTTGGACGGCGTAGTAGCTCCACACGTCCCAGCCCATCAGGTCATACCTCGATACGTCGCTGGATTAAAGCACCATGATGCCACGAAAATGCCATGCTGCTCCAATTCAAAATACGCCAAAGATGCCACAGAAGGCTGCCCGTCAGGTCTTCACACTTCAGGCCCGAGGTGAGGGCATGGGCTTCATGGCATGCAGGAAGAGACTTGCAGAAAGTGCGGACTGTGACCTTGCACGGCTTGGAGATGCCGACCACTCACGGCTTTCTTGAACTACGCTGAGTAAAAATCACTCCCGACTCAGAGTCCGGCTGGTTCGCCAGCCAGGAGACATAGCGCGGGCACGCGATGTTCTTGCGCCGGCAAACCTTCCGAAATCAGGGCAAATCTGCGACATGCAAGCATGCTCAGACCCAGACTGCTCACATGCTCGTCTTCGCCAGACTTCAGCTTCCACATATCTCGTGATTTTAGCCATGAGAGCTTGAAGTACCGCCAGAGAAGGCCAGAGGCTTGCTGATGCGAATCTACCAAGGACCCCGGCCAAGTAGATCTTCTTGCAACTAAACTCGCAGCAGCTTCGAACCTCATTGGACGAGATTTCGAGGCTGCACAGGGTTCTGCACTCACTGCAATGATCTCTGCTCTTCCTCGTTTCACGCGATCTGACACCGTTGCATTTCCGCCGGCACCGTCTGGGCGCCCCATGCGTTTTCGACAGCAAACGCGCCGTGGCCGACGATGGCGATGTCCTTGCCTGTGGCCTCGGGCACAACGGACACGCGAAGAGCGCAGCGTGAGTCAGCTGCTGAAGTGTCTTGGAACAAGCCCAGTCCTAATCCCCCGCCCGTCTGCTGAATTTCATCCAGTTCTCGCCTCCTTGTAGCCAAACTCGTCGAACATGCCGTACGCAATGGTTCCACCAAACTCATCCTGCGTTGATGCCGATCACTTAAAGCGACAAAAGGCAAACACTCAGGAAAGGCAGAAGTGCTTAGTTTAACAGTTACCAGCTTGGCAGCGATGCCATGTTGGGCTGATGGCGAAGGAACAGAACGGCGCAGAGTGGCATGTTGAGCTGACAGGTCAGGCCTCCCCTCTGTACTCTTCTCTGCCTGACGTTCTCAGACCAGATTCTGCTCCACTGGGCTTGACACTAGACTTCTCTTATCTCTCACGGGCGGTGGGCTGGTGCTGGCGGTCGAGACACACACTGGACATGCATTCCTGGTAGGCTCCAGACGTGGAAGTGACAGATTCCCTGGGTACATCAAAACCCCTTCGGCTGCCAGCTTCTCGGCCTGCACTGGGCCAGGCTGCAGTGAAGGGCCGGTCCAAGCGCATCCTCATGATCCCTGCCTTGCCGTCGCTATCGAGCTTCTGGATCGTAACTTCCTGAGCCAAGCTGTTCAAGTCCTGATTTCTAGGGGAGCAACACGGGTAACACGGGATAGCAAGTCTATGTGTCAGGTCATGGGGTCTGCAGTGTTCGAGAGAGAGAGCGCCCAAAGGACGAAGTGCGTTCAGGCGCCCAACTTAGGTGTCGCTGAGGGCGCAGCATATTTGGTGTCCAGCTTCTGGCCTTCTGCCTTGACATCCTGCAAATGTCACCGGACCGCAGAATTTGGATGCTGCGAGGTCTCGGGGTCCCCGAGCACAAACAAAAATGTCCAAGAGCCCAGGAAATGCGGAAAGCGCCGTTGCCGGCCGGGGCTGGAAAAGGTGGGAACTGTTATCCAAAATCATCGGACGGCAGGGGCCTGGGGCTTGGGGGCTTTGGGGGGGAGCAAAATTTTGACACAAGGAAATTTGTTGGGCAACGCCGGAATTTTGAGCTGAGTCGCCGTGACTTCGGCTTCAACAGGCTCAGCGGCTTCACTGAGATTCCGGGCAACTCATTGGCTGACTATCCGCACAAACACTCTTCTGCCTATCTGGTGTGTGCAGATTTCAACCAGTTACGTGCGCATGCGAATAAACATGAATCGGGATGTTCAGTCTCGGTTTCCTCTCGTTAACACCCACTGACCAACAAGAGCCCTACAAGCACGCACCAAAATCCTAAATGCAAACTCTCGTTCGCGTGCATGCTGTCTCTGTGTGTGTGTGTGTCTGCGTGTGTGTGTGTGTGTCTGTGTGTGTGTGTGTGTCTGTGTGTGTGTGTGTGTCTGTGTCTGTCTGTGCGTGTGTGTGTGTGTGTGTCTGTCTGTCTGTGTGTGGGCGCGGGTGTGTGGACATGTCAATACATGAACCCATGCACGGATGCTTGCAGATGACGCACCTGGACCTCGGTGCCGAGACGGCAATATGGAAGAATCCCATACCTCTCCCGGTGAAATGGGGAATCTCAGGAGCGTTGACGGGAAGCTCAGCAGCGGCTCTGGTTGAGCTCTAGTGCTTCGCATTAGCTCTTACAAGACATCTTGGACGTTGGGAACAGGATCAGCCATGACATCATCTGAGACGTTTTGCCTCGAGGAATCTCTGGGGCCAGAACTCCTCCGCCCCCTTCTGGAACATTGCCAGTAGTTCCTCAGTGCTTCACACTCAAGCAACTACTAGTCCGAAAGCTTCTGAAGTGCATGGGAATGCGCCAGAGTCTCGCAAGGCACTGCGTGTCACAGCTTGCCGGAGCTCAACAGATTCAAGAACCCCGAGCAATTCCAAAGGTAGACGTCTCGGTGTAGGGCATCGCGAGATGGCCAGGGGTAGTCGTTCTCCGGGCAAGGCAAGGTCTCATCCTCACCAACTACGAAGGATTCCGCAGAGGCAGGACCGGCTGAAAGTCCAACACCTCTGGTGTGGTTACACTGTACAACGCGAGAGCATGCGGGAGCCCTGCAAAGCCAAGGTGGTAGACGCCCAGCTCGGTCTGAAGTTTGGACCTGAGCGGAGGCGTCTCTGGGCAAAGCGGTCGCCCTGTCGACTGGGACCGAGGCGTCACGTTGGCCTGGTCCCACCAAGCCATGCCTCCAACCTCTTCATGTCCGGACATAGCCCAAGCTCTCAAGTGCAAGAGTCTTGAGGATGCGCCTTCGGCTTTCGATCGAAGATCACGAAGTTGGACCTGCAGCTTGGACTCAGATCCCGGGCAGGTCGGGAGGTCCAGGTCGGTCTGGAGAATCACGGGCCCGGTTGCTCCAAAGAGGAAACTCAACACAGCTAACACAGAATTCCCCAGCAGCTCCTCAATGGTCAATGACAGCAGGACCAGGAGTTGTATCATGCCCATCCTGGAAGCTAACGCCTACGACTTCACTGAGCCCGAGTTGGCGTACTCTCCGTACTTCAAGAAGACCATGGCCTCACCACGACAAGGTGAGGCTTTAACTACAGACCGGATCAGCTGCCTGGCAGGCTGCCAGCGAGGGTTTAGGCGGTCTTGACGGCAGATCACTACGGGTGGACGCGCGGCCTGCCGAAGACCGATGTGACCGGCACCAATAACGACCTCAAACATAGGAGAGCAATGGTAAAGAGATGAACACAGGCGGGTTGGTTGCATTTGGGGCGCGCGGACACGCGTTCGCTGCATTTGGGGCGCGTGGGCGTTCCATGGCCTCAACAAGTTATA